GTACTTTTCATATTTTTACATTTAATATTTTTTTGTTACGGTACTGTAATGTGATCTAATTCAATGCTGTGTTCTAACGACTTTATTAAAATATATCGCTAAATGTTATTTCGTAAAACTTGCTGGCTATTTCATTTATTATGTTTTTAGTACGGACAATTCGACTTCCTTTGTTATTTTGTGTCGCCAATATACACAAGTATAAGGTTTCGTATTACCGTGACAATTAACTTAAATTATCGTCATTTAAAATCGCAATACACTAGAGTGATTTATTGGTGTACCCTTTTGGTACGGACCACGACGGAACGGTTAAAGGGTTTTTTAGCTCTGACCATCTCAACGTCCTGACACTTCAAGACAAGACAGCGAACTACACGGACCTAGTTTGAACGGTCGTGATACAGCGCGACCAACTCTTCAGCCTGTTACGAATACATCAATAGAACTAAAGGGTAAGTCTATATTCTTTATACAGACAACAATAATTAGTAATACCAGTTAATTTCGTAATTTATTCACAATTTATAGTTGCTATTTTCCACTATTTTATTTACAAACAAAATATTGCATTTTTTTTTTTGAAATTATTTATCTAATATCATTTAACCAGCGACCTCTTAAGTTTTATACAAAACAACATTACTTTGGTGTTAACCGTAGAAAATTTCAGTCCTGTTGTGTTAAACCATTCTTGTAGGCAATTAATAGAAAGTTGAATAATGTTTTATGCCATATTAAGAATCTTATGAGAAATATGGATTACCAGGTACCAGGTTACCATTAAATACACTTGGACACAATAAACAAGAAAATTGAGGTCTATTATTGATTATGTTACAGTAAACCACGAAAGCTCGATAAAAATAAAAGACGTGAGAGTAAAGCGAGGCGCAGAAAATTAGAAAATTAGAAAATTGTTTAGTCGAAAATAAAAAATTTAATATATCTAAGAGTAGATACTTAGCAGCTAAAGAAAGATTAATTAAAAAACAATTTGAAATTTCATCTGGTCCAGGGATATAGTTTTTAAGTCCTTGCAGTGCTTCGTTTAGTTCTTGCATACTTATTGCAACATTTAGCGGACTGATGGAATCTGTAATTTTGACCTCTTTTTCTTTTTGTTTTCGACAAATAATGGGTTATGTACAGAAACACTTGAATATATCTGAAATGAGTTCGCTAAAGCGTTGGCTATTTGACTATTGTTTGTAATTAAGTTTCTCTCAATGTCAATGGAGTTAATTTTGTTGCTGTATGGAATGCCTTTAATCATCCGGATTTTATTCCAGATCTCTGATGCAGGAATATTTTCGGTTATTGGGGAAACATATTTTGCCATGATTCACGTTTACTTTTCCTAATTACGTACCTTGCGTAGGCTCTATATTTTTTAAAAGCTGTTATGTTTTCAGATGTATAATGTGCTTTTAATACATTTAATGCATGCCTTACTGAACAACCAGATCCAGATCAAGAGATAAAATGTAGAATCGAGATAGCCCGCACGACATTTTTAAAAATGAGGTCATTCTTCTGTAATGATAACTTGCAACTTCAACTTCGAAAGCGCATGGTTAAATGCTACATTTGGTCAGTCCTCTTATACGGTGTCGAAGCATGGACATTAAAAATATCCACCATTAATCGTCTAGAGGCCTTTGAAATGTGGCTGCATAGACGTATACTAAAAATTCCATGGACGGCTATGCTGACAAATGTGGCAGTCCTTGAGAGAACAAATGCTGTTCGCGAGCTGCTTGATAACATCAAATGTAGAAAGATGGCCTATTTTGGACACGTAGTAAGGGGAGACCGATATAATATTCTTCAACTTATTGTAATGGGTAAAATCGAAGGACGCAGAGAAATTGGTAGAAAGCAGGCCTCTTGGTTGAAGAATATCAGGGAGTGGACAGGAATAAAGAAAGCTGAGCAACTATTTAGAATAGCTCGAGACAGAGACATTTTCGCCATGTTAATCGCCAACGTCAAGGGGACTTGATAGGGCATGTTAAGAAGAAGAATGCATGCCTTCTTTGTTTAAGTGCCTCTTCACATTGTTTGATCCACCACGGTACTGAATGTTTACGTTTTGATTTAGCTGTTTTGCCTATAATATTTGTGGCTACCTCTGTTACCATTGAGGTAAATTTGTTCGTAACAACATTAATGTTATCTCCTATTGTTCAAAATTAGGTAGGTAGTCTTCAATATGTTGTTGGTAAGCTATCCAATTTGCATCTTTAGTTTTCCATGTTTCTAAAAAAAAATGTGGAACGCTTCATGGTTTTGCGTGTCATCCTTGCGCAGGGGCCATGCTAATCTTCTTTGTATCGTTCCAGTTTTAGTATATGTAGCGCCAAAGCGAGTACTTTTCATTATTTCTTTCATACTTTCATCTGGACATATATTTATTTGGTACCTATATTAAATTTGCCACATTCAATACAACATAACTGCTGTTGATTACTCTGTATGTTCTATGTTTGTGTTTCCTTCATTTATGTATGTAAATTAATTTCTGATTGATGTTAAAACTCTTTTGACACGAAATACAAAAACATATTATTAAGTAACAATAATTTAAGTTTTTGAATCATTTAAAATGTTCTTTTTATGAATACTTAATCATTTCTATAATTGTAAAATACTTATTTTAAAAATATTTTAAATACAGTAGTCTCTCTTTATAACGATTCCCTATATAACGATAACTCCTCTATAACGTTGGTTGGTTCGTCATAAGGACAATGCATTAATTCTTTCTCTATACCGATATCGTTCTTTTTTATAGCGATGACTTTTCAATGTTTAATAGTTGATGACAAATATGTTATTGTGTTTAAAGTTCAGACTATCTAAGTCACGAGTGGCAAGGTCATTATCCAGCCCCAGCTGTTGTTTTGTTTTTCGCTTAAGGAATACAGCCACCCATTCTACTCATTCTTATCAGAGGGTTAAGTGACTCGCTTTTATTGTTCGGGCAACTAGCAACAAGGCAACAAGCCTAACTCTTCATCATCATCATCCTCATCATCATCCTCATCACACAGATGTTGTCATCTATCTACGACTTTTCATTTCCAGTTTTAGTTGTGTCTCAGTGTGTCAAAAATCAACATGTTGTCGAAAAAGCCTAAAGTGCTCTCGGTAGAGAAAAAGTTATCGATAACTCGAGAAATAGAGAAAACTGAAAAGCAATCGGATGTCGTTCGCCATACGGGGCTATCTCAGTCAACTGTGGCTACGATATGGAAGGGCAGAAAAAAGTGGCATGAAGCTGAGATGGAGGGCAATAGCAGGAAGAAGTTTCGGAAACCTGAGCACGAAGATTTAGATCGCGCTATGCTTCTGTGGTTCCAGTAGCTTGGAGCTTGGTGCAACTGAGCTTGGAATTGAGGATTTCAAGGCATCTGAGGGTTGACTGAGCAAGTAGAAGCTGCGGCATAAGATTAATTACGGACAAATCAGCGGAGAGGCTCGCGGTGTTAACAAACACAACAAGCAAAACAAACAAAAACGTAACGGATGATTGGCTAGAAAACGTGTGGCCTGGACTGAAGGCACGATATGCGTTAGACGACATTTTCAATGCTGATGAGACTGAATTGTTTTTTAAACTGACAACAAACAGAACTTTAAAATCGAAAAACTCACGTTGCTTTAAAAACATAAAAAATCTACCTGTGACCTATAAAGCAAACAAAAGAGCGTGGATGACCTCGGAAATTTTTGAAGAAGCGATAACTTTGTTTTCTGCCAGCAAACACAACGAGTGTCCTTCAGCCCATGTACCAAAGTGTTATCAAGAGTTTGAAAAGCCATTAGAGGAGAAGACTTTTGATGGAATTGGTTGAGAACAATAGCGATCTTAAGCTAAACATTCTTGACGCCATCTTAATGATTAGTACATCCTGGGACGAGGTGACGAGCAATACAATAAAACATTCCTTTAAACACACAGGATTACTGAAGATCAAAGATTGACTGATGATGAAGATGACTTGCCATTAGATGTTGACCAGAGAGTTTGAAATTATATCACCTACGGACCGGAAGAGCTAACAGATTTTGAAGAAGTTAATGAAAATTTAGTTACAAAATCTGGACTTTTTGACGAGGACATCGTACAAGCAGTTCCTGTAGAAAAAGAAGAAAACAGTGACCCGGAAGTGGAAGCAGAGCTAGAACCAACTCTGACCCCTCAGCAGGCATTGGATGCAGTAAAAGTACTGCATCCATTCTTCATCTACCAGGAAGACGATATGAATGCTGTGAAAGATTTTGTGCGTCTTCAGGACAAGGTCAAGTCAGTTCTGTGGAAAGGGAAAAGAAAACAGACTAAGGTTACATATTTTTTGGTAATGTAGTGTAAATATATTTTACAGTATCATATAATATTTTGTTATTGTAGAGTACACATTTTTTAATAGTACAGTCATTTTTTCATACTGTATTTCTTATTATTCTTTAATAAATCTATGTGGTGTATAATACAGTGTTAATTCATTTATATTCGTTTTGATAATTTTTTTTAATTAAAATAGGTTATTTAGTACAGTATTATTAATATTACAGTACAGAATTTTGTCTCTATGTATAACGATCTCTCCTTATAACGATGAAAATTCCCGGACCCTTGCATATCGATACATAGAGAGAGGACTGTATAAAGAATTTAATTTCTAAACAAAAATTACGAAATAATTAAAAAAATATAAATCAAACAATACATATTTATGGATACTATTACTTAATTCATAGAATTTATTTAGATGTTTCGTTACATTCGTTTAGTGCTATTTACAAAGACGTAAAAATGAATCGAAAATACCCAGATTATTGACATGCTATTTTTGACTTCTGTCAATACCGTTTTTTTTTGCATCATACTGTACAAATGTGATAATCCGTCTGGTTTTACCAATACCCTCGCTCACAACAGCACGAGAGAAGCTGGTCTTCATAAATACAAAGTTAAAAAAATAATTCTGATTAGTATAACCAAGGTCGACAAGGAGATTGAAGTTAGTGCTAGTTAAAATGGTGCAGCAATATATTGCGGTTTGTGCGTTGTTTTTTGTGTTTGTTTGTTATGTTCATGCAGGTAGGCAATTTTATATACAAACTGAATAGATAATTATATGTAAATAGACAAGGTACAGTCGATAAGAAGTCCTTAGTTGACGAGATTTGTTGTTACTAGGGATAATAAATGTTAGTTTTAAGTATTGCAGTATAAAATTAACAAAAAAATACCAATAGAAAAGAGATAACAACTAAGAATAACAACTGCTGCAAACCGTTAACGTTATCGTTTTTATTTAAGGGTCAAAGCTCTGTGAGCTGTGAAATTTTGATATAAACGAAATACGTCAAATTTTATAAAGGTATTAATAGAATCGCACCAATTAAAATATAAATAAAAGATGATGAAGTGTTAGAACTATTAAAGGAATAAATTTAAACTGCATCTTATTCGTTGTCCAAGTTTATGAATCCTGTTAAAGGCGTATTGAGCTTTGTACTTTTTACGTCGGGTTTCCACATGCCCTCATTTTGGATTGTTCGTACTGTTGACGTTGTCGATTGTTAGTCTTCTTAAAAACCGATGTATTTGTCATTGCAGATATTCAAGGATTATTTTTCTGCTATTTGCTAGTCAGTTACTTCAGTGCACCCACTATATATTTCCAATATCACTTCTTCTTCTTCTTCCTTATTGTATGTAGGGTTTAAAGACTGTTTCTTTTTCAACATTAGCCTCCTAAATTGTTTAAATTATCGCACCATCTTTGTCTCAGTCTGCCAATACTTCTTTGTCCATTTGGAGACTTATCTCGTGCTATTCCTACTATCCTACCCTCTTCCATTCTGTTAATGTATTCGTTCCACTCATAGTTTAGTCACCCATACATTTATGTCTTCTTTATTGCATGCTCTTCTTATCTTTTCGCTCTTCTTCCTATCCAACAAACTTTTCCCTGATATTCGTCGAAGTATTTTCATCTCTCTTGTTTCTAGTAGTCGTGTCGTTTTAGATGTGTCCGGTCTTGTCTCTGCCTTATATGTTAATATAGTTCTAATTGCTGGTTTATAGATTCTTGTTTTTGTGTTTTGTCCAAGGTATTTGATCTTTCAGATTGTGTCATTAAGAGATCCCGCCGCTTTACTTGCTTTTAATCTTTGTTATGGTACTTGTTCTTCAACATCTCCGTAACTAGTTATATCTACTCCAGATGTCTAAACCTTGCTTCCTGCTTTATTATTTTCCCATCAATTTCGATTTTACATCGTAGTGGGTATTTAGATGTTGTCATACATTTGGTTTTTTCTGCTGATAATATCATATTGTATTTCTTGGCTGTTGTATTGAAGATGTGTGTTAATCTTTGGAGCTCGTGTGTTAGTCTTTCTGTCTCGACAATTAATGCGGCGTCGTCTGTATAACATAATATTTGGATTTATTTGTTACCCCTTCTGTAATCATGACCTTTACGTACTGCTTGTATTATTTCTTCCATTAATATATTAAAGAAAAGTGGGCTTAACGAGTCACCCTGTCTGACACCGCTTTGTACTAGTATACACTGTATTAGTTTTTCATTTATCTTTGCCTATATTTGATTATGGAAGTAGATGTTTTCGATGGTTTGTATAATATTGATTGGTATGTTTCTTTTATAGAGTAAGGTCATACGTCTTCGCCTTGGATGCGATTGAAAGCCTTTGTTAAGCCTATAAAACATAGATACATTGGTTTATTGCACTCGATGCCCTTCTGTGATTTGTGTTAGTATAAATACGACTTCTACGCAGGATTTCCGAATCTGAATCCCCGTTGTTCATCTGATAAAGTTGTTAGTTTATTGATTTTCTTGGTTAGGACACAGAATAATAAACAATCAGAATGCCCACTCTCAGATGCCGCCTTTGAAGTTTTTCAGCACGCGCGCCATGTTTTTGAAGGAAACACATAACACAGGCACCACATGCATATGATTTGTGAGGTTATGTAATTGTTTATATTTATGTTTAATTATATTATATTTATGTTATTATATTTTAACAATGTTAAAATATTTGCATAGTATGTCTACGATTGCCATGAGTCAATTAAATCGGGTTAATTTTTCTATGCACACCACATAACTTTTCATTAAACAACACTGGTTCCCTCTAAAACATGGCGGAACCTCTGCGCGAAGGAGATGCGCGTACTTAATTTTCCATGGAGAGTGGGCATTCTGATTGTTTATTATTCTGTGGTTAGGACTTTTGTGGTAGGCTTAAGTGCGGTGTTCAGTAGATTTATAGCTATATAATTGTTGGGGTCTTCTTTATATCTTTTCTTGAACATTAGTATCATAATGCTGTTTCTCCATGAAAAATTCTTTCTGAAAACTGATTTATATTTCGTGTCTTAATTTAGGTACGTTAATGTGTTGACTATTCTTGTTGATTATTGTATTCCTTCAATTCTGCTGTTTCTTTCTGTTGGTTTCTTATGATTTTCCATATTTGTTTTTGTGTACCGCAGAAGTTGCTTTCAATCTTTTTTGTAAACTGTTCCCAGTGTTCGTTTTTTGTTCTTTTTACCAACTGTTTGTTTCATTTCGTATTCTTCTATAGGTGTCTCGAGATTCTGGAGTACTTGATGTTTTGTACTTCGTTTAAGCCTTTCGTTTCTCTTTACATTTCTCTGTTATTTCTTTTCTGAACCATGGTGTATTGTTGTTGTTTCTTTTGTTTGGGTTTAGTTCGGGTTCCGTTTGGATATCTAGTGTGCATTTTTAAACGGATTTACCTATTTGTCTAAACAAAAACATGTTGGTAAGTGCATATTACTAAAGTCTACATATGTCTAGCGGAGAAACTTTAACGCTGATGCAAACAGTTTTAAACAAAATACGCGTGGGCATACGCGTCGCATAATATCACTCGACCTAAGAGGACACTTATGGTTCATCTCTAGGTTAAAGTTTTTCACTTAGTCCAGCTTTTGGTGACACTTCTACGAAGTCGTAGGGCCCGAGTTAATAATACACAAATCTATTGAGCGTTATTAGATCCGACCATGGGCAGTTGCACAGAAGTGTTTCGCCGTCTCGTCTTTAGTCTGATAAAGCCTGCAATTTACACTATCTGCCAGTTCGACTTTATTCATGTGTCTATTGACTTGTCCTCTTAGGAGGCCTACAATAAATCGCAGATCATTCCAATTTTTTTCTTCTTCTATTCTTCTTTTTATGTAGACATGACTCTGTTTGTTTTTAATGTGCCTTCAGTAAGTTGTCATTTTACCGGTTTGGTTGTCATTCTACTAATCGTCTTCCTATTACAAAATCGTCTCTTGCAGTCTTTACTATTCTATTTGTTGTTATTCGGCTTATATGATCGTTCTGTTCTACTTGTCAGTGGATTCAGCCTCAAGTGTTTTCATCTGTTGTTTCTAACATCGTTTTTGCCCTTTCTGTGTCACGTCGTGTTTCTGCCGCGCATGTCATTATTGGTTTGATGAGTGATTTGTAAATTCTGTCTTTCATTTCTCTCCTGTTGTTTAATTTCTCCATATTGTTTCATTCAGGCAACCTAAGGCTCTGTTAGCTCTATTCACTTTTTTATTTAGTCGTCCGACTCTGATTTTTGTTTTTTTTTTGGCGCCGCTTTCTTAGGTTGAAGTATTTCATGATGATTCTTATTTTACATAATACTAGGCTATGATCGCCACCTACATCTGCTTAATTAAGGTATTCGTATTCATACCTAGTATATTGTTGGATCTCTTTTCAAATTATAAAAGCCTTCTTTCAATTCTAACCAATTCTTCATGCCAATGGTTTCGTTTCATCAGTTCGACCCAGTCCGCTATCGTTCTTTTGCCTGTTCTTTTTTGATATTACAACGACAGGTTTTTATGATTGTTTCTTTTACCTCTTTTCTGGTGAGAAGGTATAGCTAAGTATTTTTCCAGAAGGTAAAACCCCTAATAAAAAAATATCTTAAATAATTAGAGTCCCATAAGAAAAATTAAAAATCCAAAGTGAACTAGGTCACACTAATTGCCCGATTGTCACACAATTTATGGACAAAACGCATCATCAAGTAAATACCAAGATAGAATGTTCTTCGGAATACAGAGGTTGTCTTACAACGAGATATTCCAAAACTGTATGAAAGCTGCTCAAGACCAAAAAACATAGAAAGGGTTATAGACTACCTATATCCATAAATCGTAATGTTGAATCCATAACAAATATATAGCATCTATCATTTAGTGTTTTTTAGGGCTTCCTGTATAATTTCTAAAATTTGCTATCGGTAATATGGAAATAAACTATATAATATAAACCTAGTTGTAGCTCTAAACATTTAACTAGTTATATATAGTATTTATTTTGCATTGTTAAATACAAACTACTTTTCTAGATTTAATACATACATTCTTAAAAAACTAAACTTCTTTTTCAGATTACAGAATTGACTGTATATCTCCAAATAAAGAAAACACAAAATGTGAGTCAATATATAAGTGCAAAACATTTACAGATGCTATTAAAGGTACTGTAACGCAATCCCAAAAAGATTTCATGAAAGAATCCCTATGTGGATATTACGCTAATCTACCTGTAGTGTGTTGTGGCTCTCATTCTGACTACACAGATTCCAACCGACCTCCAAAACGAACTAGAAGAAACACAGAGTTTAAGACGAATTCTCTAATTCCGGAAACTCAATGTGGATTGCTGGTATGTATGAATTTTCTCGTATATATTATTCATTTATCAGTTGCTTCTAATTAGCTATGCAAGCAAGCAAGCAATAGTACCTAGTTACCCCAAACTGTAAAGACTTGCATGCTCATTGACAGCTCCTCCAATGCTCACCAGGTTGTTCTCCAACCCTATAGTACGTTAAGGGGATGTAGAGGAAACTCTCATTACAATTCTTAATATTATTATACAATGATATCGAGCCAAAGTAGAGCTTATGGGGCCCTAATAATAAAATATTTATGGGCACTAAACTAAATATCAAACATCAAATAAAAAAAATCAAATTTTCTAACAAAGCAAAAATAAAATAATATCCAAAAGAATTCGTACTTGGAAAAAGTTCTTCCAATAGTTCTTCTTCTTCTTCTGGTTCCTATTCGTTTTGGATGTTGGAAATCATATTGGCAATCATAACCTTGCTCGCTGCGGCTCGAAACAGCTCCATTGAGGTTTTCTTAAACCATGTTCTTAAATTCCGCAGCCATGATATTCTCCTTCTACCGGCTCCTAGCTTACCTTTGACTTTACCTTGCAATATAGACTGTAGCAGGGAGTAACGGTGCTGATTTCTCATAACGTGTCCCAGATATTGCAATTTTATGCGTTTGATCGTAAACACAATCTCTGGTTCCTTCTTCATTTTTCCTAGAACTTCCTTGTTCGTGATCCTTGCTGTCCATGATATTCTCAGCATTCTTCTATAAAGCCACATCTCAAAATCCAATAGTAGCAAAAATACAAATATTACAAAGTATACAGTATATACAAGTATATCATAAACTCGGTTAACAAAAAAATTTTGCCGTATGTTATTATGCCTGTTATAACTTCTTTCGTCAAATGTCTGAAGGCGAGCTTGATATCTTCTTTTAATAGAGCTACAATATTATTTAGAGTTTATAAGATATTTGTAAAAGTTTATTGTTTTCGTTTTCGTTTATTGTATTTATTATCTCTTGCAGAATCCGGTTCTGCTGGTCTATAAACTCAGCGAATTTTATTCTGTCTTTTTTTCTATCATCTCTATTACCCTTACTTGCTTCAAACTTCTAAACAGTAAGCGTTCATCTACGTATCTGGAAACACTTGCTTTTCTTCAGTATCTGTTGTGTACTACTTCTATCTTCTTTATAATAGTTTTCATTTCTAATTTGCTTCTTTTTTCTGTGAGTCTTCTTATCGTGGCTCTGTCTGCCTTTGGCTTTTGGAGTCTATTTTGCTATGTTAGATATCCTTCTGGGCTATTTTTTTATTTTTGAAAATAACCGCTTGAGTCTTCTCTTGTTTCTGTGTTTCGGCGTGATTGTAATGTCGTCTGAACAAAGGCTGAGTTCTGGGTGTTCTTGAAACGTTTGCTGTATACATGCTATATAGAAGGAGTGATAAGGACACCTCATGAGGTCCTTCAGCTTCCAGGGCTCCGTGTTTAGGATGAACTAGTCCTATCTGGATTCTTAACCTCCGAGATGAGATGAGTCTCGTCATTGCCCCGCTGTAGCCATAATCTCTTATTTTGTATGTCATTCCTTCATGCTAAACTCTTTTGAAGACTTTGTTTACACAGGAAAGCTGCTCCTGTATCTTGCTTGTCGTTTAATCTAGTTTATGTGTTCTTTGCAAGTCTGAGTACTGGTAGTTCACTGGAATATTAAGCTTTGAATCTGAATGATGCTTCGAATATTAATTCTAGTGTGTCTGTTTCTGATTAAAGTCTGGATTGAATGACTCGACGTACTATCTGGCTAACTGCTGAAAGTAAGCTTTTTGGCTCATAACTTTGCAAAATATGTTTTTATTTTTATGGCTTCGGTATCATAATTACATGGGCTTTCGATGTAAAGATTGGAAAGGTTGGAAAGAGTTTGTATCTTAACGTTGGGTTATGTTTGTTAAATATACAATTTCTTACGCAAAAAGATATTTCAGTAGTCATTTGATCTGGACCAGGTGCTTTCCTTGATGAACTTTTTCTGATCAGTTTTTGATTAGTATTTCTCTGGATGATGCGGGATTTATTATTTCTTCTTATTCCTCGGCCGTTTTTAGTTTTGTTTCTTCGACTTATTAGATGTAGTCTATTTATTCATCTTGATGATAAATCAGTGTACACTTCCTCTTAAGAGTCTTCCTCATCACCTCGGCTTTCTCTCCACAGAGTTAATGATTCCACTTTCTTTGTATAGTGGGTTGTCTATCGTTTTTTAATTATCGTTAAAGCCTCCCTATTTCTTGCTTGTTTGGGCACTGTTCCTTTATTTCTTTTACCTGATTATCCCACTGCTGGCTTTTATGTTCACTCGGATTGCCCTGTTTTTGTGTTTCTAACTTCTTGTTCTTTTGATACTTTTTGGCTCTGCTATTTTTCCTTATCATTTCTGTTATTTTCTGATTAATTTCTATGGGGACCACAAGGTATACCAAGTGAATTATTAAAACATAGCCTACAAGTATTACGGGAATTACTGGCGTATGTCTTCACCTTATTCTATAATGGACACGACTTACCACCGGAGTGGACAAAACTACATATTAACAACATATACAAAAAAGGAGATAGAAAGAATTGTTTAAACTATAGGGGGCTAAGTGTCATAAATTCACTATCAAGACTGTATGGAAAAATAATAAAAAATAAAATTGAAAAAGAGATGACATATGTAGAACAGAATAGCTTTCGTGCAGGCAGATCCTGCATGGACAGTATATTCTCTTTAAAGCAAGTTATCGAGAAAAGATTAGCCCACAACCTTTCAACTCATATAGTCTTTATAGATCTGACAAAGATATACGATAGTGTACCACTTTCAATGCTTTGGGTAGCAATGGAAAAACAAGGAATAAGCAAAAAAAATATACAAGCAGTACAACAGCTCTACAAAAATATGACGGCCAACATTAAAACTGGAAATAGATTAACTAGAGAAATTCCTATTAGTAAAGGCCTAAATCAAGGCTACTGCATAGCACCTACACTCTTCAAAATATATCTAAATGAGGCACTCTCAATGTGGAGAAGAAAGTGCCGCAATATGGGCATCCCAATCGGTGATGATAGATTGTACACGATACATTTCGCTGACGACCAAGCCATTCTAGCTGAAGACGAGAGTGATATAAGCTACATGCTTAGAAAACTGGAAGATGAGTACACCAAATGGGGCCTCGCAATTAATATACAAAAAACTGAGTACTTAGTTGTAGGAGAAAAACCAGAAAGCCTACAAATCGAAATGGGAACTATAAAACCAACAGACAATTTTAAGTACTTGGGAGTCCAAATAACATCAAAAGCAGGAAGTAGCGAAGAAATACATTCCAGGATTGACCAAGCAAGATCAGCCACCAGACAGCTACACGGACTATTATGGAATAAAAAAATAATAAAAGAAAATAAAAGAAGAATTTATAAAACAATAATAGAAAGTATTGGACTGTACGGCGCCGAACTCTGGGAAATAAACCAAAGAAACAAATCAAAAATTAAGGCCATGGAAATGAACTACTGGAGACGATGTTGCCAGCTCACTAGACTTGATAGGGTGATAAACGAAGATATTCGGAGAGAAATTGGAAACAATCTAGACATAATAGACAAAATCGAAGCCAAAAGACTTAACTGGTATGGACACCTTCAGAGAATGCCGGAAAATAGATGGCCAAATATATAAAGGATGGACTCCGCCAACTAGAAGAAAACGAGGTAGACCAAGACGATCCTGGAGAGACGATGTCGACGATGCAATGACCGCCAGAGATCTAACAACTGAAGATTGCTTCGACAGAAAACGCTGGAAATTAGGATGCGAGAAGCGGCGCCAGCTGTAGAAGACTCGCTTGTTATATATATATATATATATATATATATATATATATATATATATATATATATATATATATATATGTATATATATATATATATATCTATATATATATATATATATATATATTTCTATGGATATTTTCATGTAAATTTTATATTCTCCTTTGGTAGTGCTATTGCTCGTGGCTTCTTTTATGATGTTTTTAAGCTGTAGAACTTTTTTCTTTATTTTTTTTGTAGATTTTTGATTGTAGGGACGTTTCCAATTTCTATTCTCAATAATATTTTAAATTTGATCGCTTTGTTTCTGTTATGCCCTTGTCATTATGCTATTATTTTATTAGGGGTCCGGTGTTTAGGTCAAGAATACAGCGATGTTCAGAAATATATCCAAGTCTTCGTCGTTTAAAATATCTGTTGCCCTATATATGCTAAAGTGATCCTTATTTCACCTTGTCGCAACTAGACCTTTACTGGTGTTTCTTTCAAAGTATTTAGTAGTGGCATATGTTGTAATATATATAATAACTACCAGGGAATAACACTCCTAAACACCACCTACAAAATCCTTGCAAACATCCTGCTAGAAAGAACCAAAACATACACAGAAGAAATCGTTGGAGATTATCAATGCGGATTTAGACCGGGCCGCTCTACTATTGACCAGATATTCACCAGATATTCATTCAATAAAACAGATAATGGAAAAATGCTGGGAGTTTGATCGTGAGCTTCATCAGATGTTCATAGATTTTAAAAAAGCATTTAATAAAGTATGCAGGGCCAGACTGTGGAGAGCGATGCAGGAACTTGGCTTTCCAAAAAAACTAGTCAAGTTGATACGGATGTGAATGGAACGGTCACCAAAACTCTTCAGATTAGATCTGGAGCACATAGGGACCAAATTTACTACTGGCATTTGCAGACGATATCGATCTAATAGGAAACACACGATTGAGGATGAAGGAGACTTTCGTGAGGTTCAAGAAGGAGGCAGAGAAGATGAGGCTCCAAATCAACGAAAACAAGACGAAATATATGTATATGAGCCGCAATAACAAAAGCAGAGACAGAATCGGTCAAAACATTACCATCGATGACTTTAACTTTGAGCGCGTTAGAGAATTCAAGTATCTTGGAACAACAATAACTAAGGACAATAATGGATCACAAGAAATAAACAACAGTATTCAGGCCGGCAACAGATGTCTTTTTGCCCTCCAAAACCGTATAAAATCGAAACAACTAACGATGTGTGATGATGACCCTGTGCTGGATGAAGCATCAGGACAATATAGGATACTAACTAACAAAGAGCTCGAAAAACTTTACCCAGACGCCAACATCATAAAAGAAATAAAGACCAAAAGACTCCAATGGGCAGGAAACCTCAGAAGACATTCTGACGAACGAACATTAAGACTGGTGTGGGAAGAAGTCCCAACTGGAAGGAGACCACGCGGACGCCCTCGCCTTCGGTGCGAGATAATATAGCAGGAGACGTATGCATTATGGGCGTAGAGAATTGGATGAAGGTTGCTCAAGACAGAAAACAGTGGAGGCATGTTGTCGAGTCGGCTTAAATCCATGAAGGGTTTTAACGCCACGGAGTAAAGTAAAGTATATGTTATAATATATGATTTATTAATTTTCTCACTAGGATCGCAGTTCCTCCTTAATTTGCTCTGTGGTCGTTACTGTAGATGCCGTATCTTGGAAACTTGATGGTGATGATATAATTTAGTTTGGTTTCTTGTAACGCTACGACATCCATTTCGTACCTGTTTATTAGTTCGTCCAGCATATTTGCGATGGTTCTTTTTCCGTCTGAGTTACACGAGTCTATCCTTAACTGTTTCCTTTGTAGGTTTGTGTTCAGTCATCGATGATATTAATAATTTGACTGCCGTGCCGGAATCCTGGAGCCGGTACTGCAATATTTAATAAGGCCTCGGTCTGATAGTATCCGTACTATTGACAATCAAGTATTGACCTTTTTTTGCAAAACATTGGTTTTGTAAACATCCTAAATGACATAATAGTAGAAGCAATAACAGAAGCATAAATAGACGAATCACGTTTTGATGAGCGGCATATGGAAGGATGAGAGACATTTTTAAAACAAATATCCCAATTCACCTGAAAAGGAAGGCATTTAACCAATGCATCTTACCAGTCTTGACCTATGGAGCAGAGACCCTAACTTTAACGAAAGGTACTGCCGAAAAACTGAAGGTAACACAAAGAGACAGGAGAGATTAATGCTGGGCCTGACCTTGAAAGATAGCGTGAGAAATAAGGAGATACGCCGACGAAATGGCGTAGACGATATTATACTGCAAATCAATAAACAAAAGTAGAGGTGGGCTGGACATGTTGCTAGAATGGAAAAAGGAAGATGGACGAAGAGATTATTGGAGTGGAGACCAAGAGCCGACAAGCGAATTCGAGGCAGACCACCCACCCGATGGACCGACGACCTAAGGAGAATAGAAACAAACTGAATTGCAGCAGCTAGAGATAGAGAGAACTGGAGACGTTTGGAGGAGGCCTATATTTAACAATGGATGTGAAAATGGGGCTGGATGATTGGTTTTGTAAAAATTTACAATAATACCAGTACCGTTAAACATTTAACGATTATTATTGTCAAAATTGGTACTTGATCTGTAGAAATAATTTAAAAATTTATCTCAGCCTCTGTTACGGTAAATTATTTAAATTTATTTACTGTCCTGAAGACGTGATGTTTAATTTTCAATATTTTTTTGGTTCAATTATAATGATCATTATAAATGATTCTTTCTTACCTTGGGATAATATTAGTTTGGGTATTATAATTTATAATTATTATAAAGAAATTTGTTTACTTTTAGGTGAGTGACCATCTTACAAGTGGGCAACCACAAGACTTTCCATGGGCAGTAAAACTTATCTATAACCAAACTTTACACCGTTGTGAGGGGACCTTAATACATAAAAGATACGTCCTAACATCCGGTCAGTGTGTAAACAAATTTATTGTCAACTATCATGGAAAGTTGTAAGTAGCTAATACAAACGTTTGCTTTTTAAATTTGTGCACCAAAACGTCAAACTCTATTAGTCCAGGCGAAATCTGTTTTAAATTTAACATTTTTAATAAGAGCATAGTTTATTTGCTGAAATCATTTCAGGATGTTACTTGCATTCATAATCACTATACGCGCTAGTAACATACTTGTGCTTAATTTTTATTTAACAAAACAATGTAAAATTTTTAACGCTCGTCTAGCTTAAAATTAAAAATTTAATGTACAATGGCAATAATTAGGAAAAAATTTCAAAAATGAGTTTTTTCTTTAAATTTTGTCGATTTCTTAGACATAACATACAACCTTCTTCCAAACAAGGTTTACTCGTCTTTTAATTTCTTTGCTTGTTTTATTGCTACATTGTCTGTTTTAGCAATATTTGTTTTTACGGTTGGTAGGTGGCTAACCTTGCCAATCACCCTCCACATTTTATTCTGGCTTGGAACCGGTGTGGTAAGAGCTACTCAATTCACCCCGCAATCATCCTAGTCAGTGTTAGAAGAATTGATGGTAAGACTCTATGGGACAAATATACGACTTAGATACAAGGTGCAGAACATCAAGAACTGGGTAACAAATAGAAGAGTAAAATGGAACGATCTTATAAGCCAAATGACAAAGTTAAGACGGTTCCCCAATAAGTATGATCAGACGATCAGTACGAACACCATGAAAACCGTGAGTGAAAAATTGTGAACCGCCGTAATTGAGGAACTACTTTATTATATCTTATCTCCCAGTGTAATTGTAGGAGATTTTAATGCCCATATCCCATACTTCGGATCCAAATTTCGATCAATAAATGAAACAGTACTAGTACAATTACTTGACAGTAACAATATGAACATCTTAAATATAGGTAAACCGAGAAGATTTAATATATAATTATCGACCTAGCATGTGCGATCCGATCCTACAAACATCTTTAAATTGGAAGTTCACCCCTGCTTGTAGGATAGTAATCACATTCCCCTTCTTATAATCCGTCGGTTCAAATTTGAATCAAAATCACCTCTCTTAAAACTATACAAAAAAATTAGACCATGCAAATTGGACACTCTTCTCAGACCAAGTAGACCAAAAACTCCAATACCTTCCTGATCCTACTACCTCAAATATAGCTTTAACTTATAAACAATTATCTAAGATACTATTGGAAGTAGAGCATAAAGCAGTCAGAAAAACCAAAACTCTAAAAACTCACATCCCAGTACTGTGGTTAAATGACAAATGTCGACATAGCCATAAAAAAATACAAGCTGGCTTTCAACCAATTCAGACGGTGCCCTACCACATAAAATTAAACAAATATCGCTATAAGATTACGGAAACCAAAAAAACAGACCTGGAAATCATTCGTGGCATCCATCAAGGGTAGTGGGTTGGAACTCCTTAGACAGTCCTATCAGGAAAAATGAATCATTCTCTGTCCTCCACAGATTCCAGGTGTTTCTTGATCCGGAAAACTAGTACCTGCTCAGGGTCCCTTGTTCAGGGTCACGAATAAAGACCACAACGGCATTCAACGCGGAGAAGGATACCTTCGGTACGGCGAGGATGGCGGAAGTGGCACCCCCTAATTTTAGGGTTAATATAAAATCAGTAGCGTCTGGTCCAGAGTGGACGGCTACGAACAGCGTCTGACCCAGAGTGGGCGGCTGAATATACACTCACTAACCCGTCTGACCAGCGTGGTGTTTTATGGTCAACACCTCCCTTCTTAAATGGCGAATAAAAATCCAAACGGAACTGGTCCCCAGGTAGGTGGTTCACATTCTGGCAAATCCTACACCTTATCTAATAAGGTCAGTCTCATCGAATCTGGGGGAGACAATAGTTCGTCAATACAGACAACAAAAATGTATATCTTAACTTTCAATGTAAGATCTTTGTCTAAAGACGAGAAACTCGTATGAATTAGAGGAAGAACTCATCAAAACCCGAAAAAGAAAATAATGAATGTAAACTCTGAAATATTACTCCCCATAACCGGAGAAGAAATAAAAAAGGCAATTAAAGATATGAAAATAAATAAGGCTCTGGGAGACGATGAAATTCTAATTGAAATGTTAAAAGAAGGAGGGGAAAAGATAAAAGAATACCTAAAGATTCTTTTCAATAAATTTTTGTTTGAAGGACAAATACCGCAAGAGTAAACAAAGCAAATACAATTCTGATATATAAGAAGGGAAAGAGATCAAAATTAGCTAACTATAGACCAATATCTCTATTGTCACAAATCTATAAAACTTTTACTAAGGTAATCACAACTAGACTAAACAACAAATTTGATGCATACCAACCAGTTGAGCAGGCAGGATTTAGAAAGGGGTACAGCACAACCGACCACCTTCACACTCTTAAAATATTGATAGAAAAGACCAATGAATACAACCTTACTATATACCTAGCGTTTGTTGACTATGAAAAGGAGTTTGACGGTACAGAATGTTAATCCACAATATTAAAACGCTACTATGAGAATTCAGCTAAATAGATATTTGCAAACTCCATTAATTAGAATTTGTAGAGGTGTCAGACAAGGGGATACAATCTCACTCAAACTATTTACTCTGGCGTTGGAAGACGTTTTTAAATCTATAGACTGGGACAATAAAGGGATTTTTATAAACGGGAAATATTTAAATCATCTAAGATTCGCCGATGTTGTACTCCTGATAACAACAACTATGGAACCACTACGAATAATTATTTCAGACCTAGAAAAAACGTCTATTGAGAAAGGACTAAAAATGAATCTAAAGAAAACTAAAATAATGACTAATACAGAAGACAGATCAGTAATTACCATAGGTGGAACAAACATAGAATACGTCTAAGAATATATTTACTTAGGACAAGCTATCAGAGCAGACAAAAGTAACCAGACTAAAGAAATAACCAGAAGAATAAGAATAGGGTGGGCTGCATTCGGAAAACTCTCATATACTATTAAAAATCAAAAAATACCTTTAAAATTAAGAACGGAGGTATTTAATGCATGTTTCCTACTTGTTCTGACATATGGTGCCCAGAGGTGGACGTGTACCAAGAGCAACTTAATAGAATAAAGAAAACTCAAAGAGCTATGGAAAGACAAATGTTGGGAATATCATTGAAAGATGAAAAGAGGAACGAGTGAATAAGATGCAAAACCGAAACAACAGACGCTGTCGAACATGCATTGAAATTAAAATGGAAATGGGCTGGGCATAACAAAAGATGTCAGGATGGAAGATGGAATAAAGAAATTGGACTCTGGAGACCATATACTGCAATAAGGTCAAGAGGTCGAACGCAAATGAGATGGAAAGATGACATTGAGCAAAGCGCAGATCCAATGTGGAAAATACAAACAGAAAACAGCGACAAATGGAGACAAATGGGAGAGGCCTATATTCAATACATGAATAGATTTTGGGCTATAGATCGATCCATCAACAACTTTACCCTCCTATCTACCTGTAAACCTGTAAAAATTAACACCTGTAATACTGCCTAATCGACTATTTGTTTTAAATTGATTGAGAATATTAGATGATTCAACTACTGGTTCTCTTTTGGGAAATTATATATTATCTTACCCATCTTCTGTGGCCTATGACTAGTATATTTAAAAAATATACTAGTCATAGGCCACAGAAGATTCTTCTTTTCCTTTTTGTTTTTGTTTATACATTTATTGTTCATTTCTTTTTTGGTTAGGTTAACAATTGTACAGAACGAATGTGATATTTTCTATAAATTAGTTACTATTTAAATGGGAATAAGCCACAATTAAAGGTTAAAGTACGTTTATTGACGTTTCAGTTTTCATTTTGGAAATCGTTCTCAAAATACAAACATTAGTTTGTTTGTATTTTGAGAACTAATCTTTGTGTTTTGAGAAAGATTTCCGAAGTGGAAATTGAAACGTTAATAAACTTACTTCAACATTTAATTGTGGCTTATTCCCATTTAAATAGTAATTTAGTAAATAGTAATTGCTTGCTGACAAATAGTCCAAGCAAAGATAAACTAACTTTCTACTAACGCTGTCAACTATCTAATGGAAATAACAAAGTATTTTAAATTGGCAGACCCTTGACGGTTTTTATAGAAGGTGTTCTGGAATTATATCAAATATTTTATCTCTCACTTTAGCATGCATTATCAAGACGATGCATTTATGCTCCTACGGCGAGTGCCGACGAAGAAAAAGTGGAAATATTCTACCGAGATATCGAAGAGGCACTTAGAATAACGAAAACAAGAGAAATCACGATAGTTCTAGGTAATCTCAATGCAAATATTGAAAAGGAAAAAACGGAAAGTGTATAGGAAACTATGGTCTGGGAAATCGAAACGAGAGAGGAGACCGTCTGTTACAATTCTGTCAAGAGCAGAAATTGCTTATTCCAAACACAGTTTTTAAGTTAATAAACAGACGGCTGTATACATGGCAGTCGCCCGTAGATACTTCGGACAAAGTAGTCAGGAACCAGTTAGACTACATCATGATCAATAAAAGCTGCCGTAATGCTGTTAACACGTTCGCTGCCGATCTTTAAAATGCAATATATAGTAGGGGCCGACAACGTTTTTTGAATTTTTCGTTTAAATGTTATTTAGAAAAGTTGCTTGAATAGTTGCACTAAAGCTATGTCAACTAATTTTTTTGTCATTAGATATACTTTGTGATATCACGCGCCAGCGCGTGATCGGTGTGGTCCCAGGAATTTCATCTCAATTAGCCGTATCACGCCATAGAGTGAGACAATAAAACGACGTTATTATAATACGAAAACAGAAACTATATTTATATTATATTATATATACTAATTCGAATAAAACGAACAATACATAAAAAATTTATAAAACAAAAATATTACTCAGATCAAAATAAAATAAATAAAAAAACTAAAATAAGTGATCAAACCACAAATGTCCCTGTGGATTAAACATTTGTAACTTATTTATGAATAATGGTACAGCAATCTAGACAATATCCTGGTTCACTGGGGCACGACCTACATGTGTAGATAGTATCCTTTCTTTTTCCATTTTCGTAACATAACTTGCAATGTTTTCTAGGTGTTTTCTTAATACCTGGTGGTGCCACTCTTTGTGACATAATGTGACCAACTTCTGGGGGTCGTCGGTGTGCTTGGTCTTCTTCTGCCCTCTTCTGGGCCGGGGCTAATAAACTTTGTATGACTCGAATACGAAAGTCATAAAGACTTATTTTTTGGGTAGAGTATTTGTTATATAAATGGTGTGAATTGATAAGCATCAATTGCAGCACGTGGATAAACATCTTCGTAGGCCATCTTAATGTCTTTCTCTCTGCCGGGTAATAAGAGAGCATTTGGTCATGTCTGTCAATACCGGACATATACTTATTGTATTGAACGATCGGTAAGGGCTTCGATACAATTTGTTGTCTTTTATTTGGTACATCCACCATTATGTTTCGATATTCATTAGAAATATAGGACACATTCCTCTTATCTCTCCATTTTCCTATGAGTACTCCATCTGCATACCTTCCCATTACTTCACCTTTTTTTAACTTACTGTCTTTTATTTCCTTCGGTACATGCTTTCTGTCCAATCTTAAAGTTCCCGTACAGTGTGTTTTATGATTCAATAGTGTTCTAGCTAATAAAAAACTGTTATAATAATTGTCCATATACACACTATGTCCTACTTCCAAAAAACCGTCCAATAAATGCATTACCACTTTTGATGCATGATCTTTACCACCCAGATCGTCCAGTTTTCCTGCATAAACGGCAAATTTTAAAACCATACCAGTTGGGGTTGTCAGCATGTATAATTTAATGCCATATTTATGCCTCTTATTTTTTATATATTGGCGAAATTGAAGTCTGCCTCGCCATAACACCATAGACTCATCTAAACTTAGCTCCCGTCCTGGATAATACAGTGCACATACTTTTTCGTTAAAAAAATTAATTAGGTATCTAATCTTCAATAATTTGTCTTCAGGTAAAATACCATTTTCTCTATTTTCCGTGAAATTCAGGCAACGCATTATCAATAAAAACCGATTTCGGCTCATAACTTTGTGAAATATCCCAATGCTATATAACTCATCTTGTCGCCAATAGTCTTGGACACGGTTTATTCGAATATTGCCCATGTGTAACAGTAAGCCTATGAACAGTAACAAATCTTCAGAAGTTAACTGTTTCCAGTTAGTTATCCTGGATTTAAAGCATGTTCTTTCAGATAAAAATAGATTAATGGCGTAACTGTTACTCAAATCACAAATTTTTGTAATAAAATCGTCTGTCACAAACAATCTAAAATATTCAATCGGTGTCATTCCAGTTACGTCTACTAATAATCTTTCGTGTTCAGTAAATTCAAAAACATCTTTCATTGTGGTTGGATTCAAAGAAAATTGTATAGACTGGTCTTGATTATGAGAAAGGTTTTGTGGACGTTCATTATCATTATTTTGTAACACGTACTGTTGTACACCAATATCATTTTCAGAATCCTCAGAATATACTTCGTCCGATTCATCCAAATCACCAAATACCATCTCGTCCTCGTCGGAGCTGTCATGTTCCAGTAAATATAGTAGTTCTTTTTCACTTAAAGGCTGTTTTAAATCAATTTTTACCTTTTTTGGTTGAGAAGGTCCTGCCACAATGTTATTACTTTCCGCCATTTTCACTAGACTGTCAACATACACTGGTACTGTCAAATCAAAAACCGCGCAATGTAAATCATAACCTATGATCGATCCTAGCAGGCCGACACTTATTTTTAAACTCATTCCATAAGCCGTATTTAAAAACCTACATTATAGAGCTTACAGCTATATCACGCACTGGCGCGTGATCGGCCTTTTTCCAAGTACGACCATCACGCACTGGCGCGTGATCGGCAGCGAACGAGTTAAAGCCGTGAAAGCGTATCCTGGATAAGACGGGGCCTTAGATGATAATCCACTTATCGCCATGATTACACTGACCCTTACAAATATTAAAAGACATCAAAGAATCCCTAAAATAGACATAAGAAAACTTAAAGAACCTAAAGAAAAAGAATGCCTCCAACATAAACTACAGCAAATTGACGACAAACACCAATGATATTGACGAGTACTGGGATCGACTAAAACATTGTCTACTGGAAACCTGTAAAGAAATACTAAACACTTCCGCAAGGAGAAAAAAAATGGATGAATGACGAGATACTCAATATGATGGAACAACGCAGACAATTTAAAAACAAGACAACAATAAATACAGAGAGATAAAACACGAGATCAGGTAGATGATAAAACAGGCAAAAGAAAAATTCTTTGAAGAGAAATGCAAAGAATGTAGTTTAACCTACACAAAAAAGTTAAAGAACTGGCAGGATTAAGAAAACAAAATCCCACTCGTGCAATTCTCGATAGATGAGAAAGAGAAAGTACAAAGATGGGCAGAATATATCGACGAATTGTTCAATGATGAAAGAGAAGATCTGAAGCACATAGAACTTACGTCAGAAGAAATACGTCCATATATTACAAAAGAACAAATATTACATAAAAAAAGGGTTAAATCTTTGTAAGTGGGTATATTTAAAAAACCCTTGAAAGGGCTACATCAAATTAACAAACGTTTTCGGAATAATAATTCCATCATCAGGTTAAAATCAGGTTAACATGCCTGAGCCACCAAAATATTAGGGTAAAAACCCTTTAAAGTAAATAAGGTTAACAAAGATTGTACATATTGTTGTTAAAAATTATTGATGTTTAATATTTTATTATATTTTACTACAGGTAACATACACCCATGCCTTACGTGAGTACCAGCGTCCGTAGAGTAGACCTCTTCAAACGGACTTCAGCTGGTAACTGAACTAAATATTGCATGTATTAAAAACAATGAAGAGTGGCAAAAGCATTGGACCTGACATGTTTCCTATGGATGTCATAAAAATTCTAGATCCAAAAGAGAGTTAAGAAATAGAACCAAATTTATAGTTAAGGCGTATTACCCAAATAGTGGTTAACGTCGATTTTTATTTGCCTCTCTAAAAGGAAAAACGCAAGATAATGCAGTGATTACCGCACCATTAGCTCGCATGTGCTAAAGTTATTATTAAAAGTCATCCATAACCAAACATATTACAAACTGGCCATAGACGTTAATGATACATAATTTTGTTTTCGCAAAGGCGTAGGAACGCGTAAAGCTCTTTTTTACTTAATATACTGATACAAAGATGCCTGGACGTCAACCAAGATATATACGCATGTTTTATTGACTATAATAAAGCATTCGATAAAATACAACATAAACAATTATTGCTTGTCCTGAAATCAAAGAATATTGACTACAACGACCTCAGGATCATATCAAATTTATACTATAAACAGCGAGCAAAAGTACGTGTTAACGAACAGCTGTCAGAAGAAATTGAAATTAGATGTAGAGTGAGACAGGAATGCGTATTGTCGCCAATTCTTTTTAATACCTACTCCGAAGAGATCCTGAAAAACGCTCTTGATGGTAAAACAGCTGCAATGAAGGTAAATGGAGTTCCCATTAACAACATTAGATATGCGGACGACACTGTGATCTTAGCCGAAAATATTGAAGATCTTCAGAGACTGGTGACCAGAATAGCAGAGTATGGAAAAGAGTATGGTCTAACAATGAATGTCAAGATGACGAAATTTATGAGAATATCGATAACTCAAAGAAATAACGAGAATCTTCTAATAAACGGAACCAACGTCGAACAAGTGAACAAATATGCAAATCTGGGAACAATCAATACTCCACAAATATATTCAGAAGATCAAAATCAGAATAGAAAACGCAAGAGCAAATTTCAACAAAATGAGAAAAGTGCTATGTACGAGTGATTTAAAATTGAACTAAGAGTTACGTTAGCGAGGTGCTATGTTTTTTCGACATTATTTTATGGAATGGAATCTTGGACCTTAAATATGACATCAATAAAAAACTGGAATCATTCGAGCTGTGAATGTATAGAAGAATTCTGAAAATATCGTGGACAGAACACGTCACAAACAAAGAGGTTCTGAGAAGGATGAATAAAGAAATAGAAATTTAAACAATTAAAACAAGAAAAAAGGAATATCTTGGATATATTACACGTGGAGAGAAATACACCTTGCTCGAAGTGATTATGCAGGAAAAGATCCACGGAAAGAAAAGCATAGGAAGGCGTAGAATATCATAGCTGCGCAACCTCAGAGAATGGTAAAGATATACATCAAATGAACTCTTCAGAGCAGCCGTCTCAAAAGTCCAAATAGCTATGATGTAGGAAAAGGTAGTAAGTTTCTGATGTACAATGATCATAATAATGTCTGCCAACAGACAAAGCACCAAATAAAAACAACTATTTATCAATGTCTATAAATCCCAAAAATATTATATCTGCCACGAATGACTACACTTCTTTGATATAAAACTTAATTAATAACAAATGTATGTAATTTGGTAACCTCTTGTGCATTTTTGTTTTAGAGCTAAAGTTACACTAGGTCTTTCAAATTGTTGGAATGAAAAATCTTGTACAAAAACTGCACTTGATGTTGGCATTGAAGGAGTTACAATACATAAGGACTTCGGTACAGTGCGAGGTGTACCTCACGATGATATTGCATTAATTCGACTGGATAAGGATATAACTTTTAACGGTAAGTTGTAAAAGATTGTAGTATTGACGCTGAAAAGATTTATATATATATATATATATATATATATATATATATATATATATATATATATATATATATATATATCGTCGGTATACTGCGAAAACCAGGTAAATGTCAGAATACCGAAACCGAGAAAAAACGTTTTTAAAGTTTAGATTTTTATTGTGAATTAAGTAGCCTGCTTCTTTTTAATTTTAGATATTCTAGTTAAAGATTCATATATCTTTAATGATATTCTATCATTAGTTTGAACAAGTTGAGACACCTGGCTGATTAAACCTAAATTTAAGCTGGAAATGCTATCACTTACCTGGTTTTACCTGTAAATCTAAATAAATCAGTTACTCTTCAAATAACACACTTAGAACAAATATAATTATACCAAATATATTATTTTACAGTTCTATCATCAAAATAGCAGGGTTTTACTTGGTATCAGCAATGTTTTAAGGTATTAGTCGATATTTATGACATTTAACTGGTTTTCCCTGAAAATTTTATTAACAGCTATTTGTAGTTATACTTATTATTTATATGAATGAAAGGCAGTTTTATAGAAAAAACAAATTTATTTCGAATATAATAATAACATTTTTATAATCGTAACAATATTATTATTATGCGGATTCCTCGTCCGATTCGTCACTGAAAGCAGGCTCTGGCAAGACGTCTGTTACATCATTTCCTGTTCTCAAATTGCGATACCACCCATGATATTCCTCCGGTATCACTCCCTTATCACATAGCTGTACCAAATCTCTCTTTTTTGCTATGCTAATTGGCAAAGGTGCATCATAAAGTCGCTTAAGTTCTTTAAGCTTGCTTGTATTAGTTAACTTGGCGTGCTTTTTTCTTGTTGACTGCCGTCCAGTATCAGTAAGGAAATAATTGAAGCTTGTTGACATATCATAATTAAAATAAATTCTGTTTGTCTCTCCTTTCACGAATCTCATTCTTTTTATTTTTAACCACATTATTTTTTCGCCGTTTTGGTCTTTTGTCCGATTTTTAATTAAATTATGTGACAAATTTTTTAAATCATAAAAGTCGTGGTATTTAAATTCTTTACATTTGTATGGTTCGACACATACTTTTTTATCATCAACCTTGATATTTTTAGTTCCTCTTGCATTTTGAAAAACAGACAAGTAATCTGGCATTCCATAGATAGATCTGTGTTTTTTAGCGGTTTCGATACTACTGTGCATAGAGTCAACTTCCATATAGGAATGTCCAGACTCTAAAAATTTGTGTTCAATAATATTTAAATGCTCTATGTTTTGAACAGCCCATAATAGTAAGGCTGCAACATGCTGATTACGATTCTGTCCTCCGCAAGTATCAGAAAATAAACTTATTTCACTTACATATTCTGGCACACATTTTGATAAGTAGTGGAGTATAATGCTTCCTATTTCTGAACTTCCTCGTCTACCGTTAATTTCTGACCAGGCAAAACAGTATGCTGCATTTGGCAATGAGGCTTCATATACACACAAATTGTAGACGCATAATTTCCGGGAATAATATAGTTGTCCGGTCAATCCACTTGGAATCTGTAGTACGGCCTGTAGATCGAATGTAATTGAAACAAAATTCCGTTGTTCATTAGATCTTTTCTTATCATTTTGTTTTTCAAGATTGCATACTTCTTTTCTTTTCTGATGTTCTCTGTAACTGTTTTCTAAATCCGATTTGTCAGTTGGATTAGCCGTATCATATTTATTACAAACTAAACATTGATCTTTTTTAGGGACGAAAAAGCTTAAATTATAGTCGTTAGAAAATATTCTTCGGTATGTAATTTCGCTAACACCTTTCAGTTTCTTCTCCTCACAGTCATTTATATAAAGTTGGTACATTTTTCTTATACTCAAATCTTTGTCCAAATATCTACGCTTTGAACTTTGGCGAATATAATGTGGGGCCATGGTTGGGAAAGACTCAATATGAGCCTTCACGATTTTTCGGGATTCATGGCTTGTTTTATTTGGCGGTATATGCTGGCCTCTTTTATCCGTATCTGCATAAAAACCTAGAGTATCAGTTTTTCTTACAACATCTTGTATTAACGACGCTGATATACAAAGTGTCTTAGAAAAAAACTTCTCACATACCTGTATCTCTTGGCCATTCAAAGAAAAGTAACACTTTTTGGAAAATGCACGTGGTTTTTTTAAACTTTGACGAACTGCAACGACTCTCTTTGGTGGCTCCGTTTTAATACGTGCAATAAGAAAATTTTTCTGGCCTATATATTCTAAGCTCCAATAATCACGACATAGTCTTTGTCTGTAATCTTCGCTGAAATAACTGGCACATTTGTAAAAACACTCTGAACAATTAACAGGTTTTGGCAATTTTGCTGGTCTATTCTTTTTTTTTATCTCATAAGGTAAACCCTCAGCACGCCTCCTTTTTGCGACATTTATCATCCAATCTTTTGGGTTAGCTTTTCGCCAACGTTTTAGTGGACGTACATCTTTCCATACTTTGTCGAGAAGTAGATCTAATATCCAACTAGCTATTTCAGTTGACACTACATTGTTCGTGAGTGCTCCTATTTCAATAATTTCTTTCGTCTCATCATTTAGGCTATCAAGGTCAGCTGTTTGTAATTCAAATAGACTTACTAGAGAAAGTGATCCCTCTTCACTTGGCTGATATGTGGGGTCCGCATCTGAGAAGTCACTATCCAAAATTGATTCCATCATTGAGGCTATATTGTTCTGAGAATCATCAAGAATTGAACTGATATCTTCAGTTTCAACGGAATCTAAAAAAAAACGATATTGCACAACAAGTAACTAATTGATACTTATTAATAAAAATAAAATATTTCAAAACTGTCTTCCTGGTCACAAATAGAAGATATTCAATATTATTTAATAGTCTGTTTAACTTTAGAATAATCTTTTAACTTTTTCCCTAATATAAACATGTGCATTTGTGAACACCCATATAACTATTTTTCTGTATTGATTTTTATGTATCGAGAACATGATTATGTATTGTTCAGATTATAATATGTATTTATATGTACAAAACGATCTCTCAAGAGAAATTTAAGATTTGTTCACATAATGTGGACACACGAAACTGATGAATATTATTGCTGATATTGCTTATTTTCGATAGCCCAACCAAATTGTCATCGTATAATAACAACTTCAGTTGTGCAAACAACATACGCCCAAACATTCATAAAAATAAGTAATTATTATTAAGTACAATACAAACATTAAACATGAAAGCAACAAGAATATAACGGTCAAACTTATTTCCAAACTCCCTATAAATAGGTAAGAAACAAAAATTTTTAATTCGAAATTCTCTGTAAATTTGTCACAATGTGTTATTTACTACCTAGAAGCAAAATGTCAACCAATTCAATTTGACTTTGTGAAGCACTGTATTATTTATTACTTTTATAATAAAATTGTATATAATATATTGTATATAATATATTTGTAAAATACTTACCATTAACGGCATTTTCGGATTGTTTGTTCACCATGGATAAAATTCTTTTAGCTCTTGAATTCATTGTTTCTTTGTTTTATAATTTTTAGTAACACAAAATCAAAACAGATAGGTAATACAGACTAAACTTTGTATAAACTATTTTCTACTAAGTTCAAGTTCAAAACCGTCTGTTAATATTATACATACAAACACGTATCTGCTGAATCCTCAAATAACTCTGCACAGCAGATATCAGCAGATAAAAATTATATCATAAACACCATTAAGATCATTTATGGTTTTAGCAGTCATCATTTCTAAATTTTCACTCAACCCGTTTTCAGGTAGAATCAAGTAAATGTATTTAAGAGTTTTTACTAGTCGATATGAATGAGAAATTTTATTAAATTATACATGTAAAATGTATTAAAGACATTTATCACCTTTTTACTGAATATGGTATGCAGTAGTAGAAACATGTTGTTGTCCGGGACAATCATATATGTGGGCTTACTTAGTTTTACATGCAACTGAACATCAATTTTATGGAAGTAAGTAGCAATATATTGTTTTACTGGAAAATGAAAAGTTGGTCAGGTGTAACTTATTTGTTTATTACACAAATTATCTGCTCAACGGTAAGTCGTATCATTTATTGGATTTTACCTGTATGTAGAGCGCAAAAAGCTGAGAATTTTGGTATACTTAACTCAATTTTGTAAAATTTGTCATTTACCTGGTTTTCGCAGTATACCGACGATATATATTATATATATATATATATATATATATATATATATATATATATATATTATATATATATATATATATATATATATAATATATATATATATATATATTATATAATATATATAATATATATATTATATATATATATATATATATATTGTTGCGAACGCGAAATTCACAGACGCATACAGTTTGCAAAAGCAGCAATGACGCAACTAAACAGGGTCTGGCGTGATCGTCAGATTACTATGGCAGACAAGAAGAGACTCGTTTTAACTAGGATCTGTTCCGTATTTTACTAGTCATGTGAGCCTTGGCCAGTCAAAGATGACTATATTGACTATACATCTATAGAAGATGACTACTTTAAATTACATGGACCGCACGTACCATTGTAACAAATATATTTTGCCTACCTCAGTGTAAGATTATGGGGTGAAGATAGGGTAAGCAAAATAAACGCTACTTGTGCAAACGGCACTCAGGGTTTGTTAGGAGAGCTGAGGTCGTGGATAAGTAAAAGATAAGGGATGTTGGATTGGGGCAACTACAAAAAAATGAAATAAAAAGTCATGAATTTCTTGGGATAAACAAAGCAAAAAAAACAGGAAACACCTCTAGTAATTTAATATAGGGCGCCACTTTGAGGTGCCTAATTATACCTATTACAACTACTAGTTGTAACTAGGGAAATAATTATTAAACATAAAAAACATATATCTTTTCAAATAAAACTCAAAAAAGGGTTAGTTAAAAAAATAAACAAAATGTTAAGAAACAAAATTTAACATTTATTGTGTCTTACCACAAACAGTTACAAAACATAGAGAATACAAGAATACTCAAAAAAGACAATACAAAAATATTACCTCAATAGTCGCAAAATACAAAAATACAAAAAACTTACATGTCATCCATTTACAAACTCTAGGAGTTGGAGATACTACAAAAAACTTACAAATGTTACCGCACAGAGGTAACCTTTTTTTTTAACAAAAAAAAATGAAAATCAAAAATAATAAAGCGAGCTGTCTTATGTAAACATTAAATTTAAAAGAGAAAAATTTAAAATGACAGCTAAACTCAAAACCTAAAATTTACAATTTTTAAATGTTACAATTTCTAAATTTTAACGAAAGCAATTATTATTTTATAAAAAAATTGTCTGTCTTTACTTTAAAATTTGAACAAAATGTTACCTGGATTTTTCACTAAAACACTTTGGATTTTCTGTAACTGGACGTCACTGGAATTTCTAGAATCATAACTGGGCTTCACTCTCTGTGCAACGAACACACGAACAAATCTATCTCCATACTGCCAAAAGCCTTGGATGATAACCAGGGAGAAACAAAACGAGCATGGAAACGACGACTCCTCCATCCACTTAAAACATTAACTGAACCATTAACTTCACACTGCTACTTATTTTCTATTTATTTATTTATTTATTTATCGTATGGCAATTACAGCACATTTAGAACAAAATTACAAACACTAGTAATATAGGTATATGACAAACTTTAAATAATTACAAACAAACATCAAGTGTATTAACATAATCAATTGACTCTGAAGTTGCAAACAGGAAGTCTTCAGGGCTACCGTTATAGGATCTTGAGGGACACTCTTCAATAATGTGGTCGATCGTTTGGTCCTTCCCACAGTCACATTGAGGAGACGGATTCTTTCCCCATTTATGTAGCATGTATGCACATCTGCCATGTCTGGTTCGGATCCTGTTTAGAGTGGACCATGTTTTACGTGGAAGATCAAAACCTGGTGGCTTGTGGGTAATACAGGGCATGTTATTTTGCCATGCATTCCATTCTTGGGACCATGCATTCGTGATGTTGAACTCCTCATGTATCATTCTTGCTGTTTTCATTGGTGGTTTTCTAGAACGTAGACGGGTATTTCGTGCATCCTCGGTATCTTGGTGGATCGGCAGGTTTATATTGTTCATGATCTTTTTGTATTCACGTGTAAGTGCGTCAACTCGTCGTAAATGTGGAGGTGGAATGTGACTTAATACTGGAAGCCATTGGGTGGGAGTTGATTTAATTGTACCAGCTATCATCCTCATAGTGCTGTGCAGTGAGTGTCGACCTTTTTTACGTGTGGACTGTGTAGCCAAACTGGGGCACAATATTCAGCGGTCGAGAAAACAAGGGCTAAAGCAGTAGAGCGGAGAGTGGAAGCCGATGCTCCCCAGGTGGTACCGCAGAGCTTCTGTATAATGTTATTTCTTGTACTCAACTTTTGGGCAGTTTTTGTTAAATGCTCTTTAAATGATAGCGTTCTGTCTAGTGTTACGCCCAGGTACTTCGGTGTTTTGTTGTGGGAAAGTGTGGTATTTTCAAACCGTATGTTGAGTTCCTTTCCAGCAAGTTTATTGTTCAGGTGAAATGCTATCTATTAAACATGCTATTTGTTTACAGGCAATTGCACGGAGAATTTTGTATATAAGGCTATCTATCCATACTGTATCGTAAGCTGCCGAGAGATCAATAAATGCCGCTGAAGTTTTAAGTCTTCTTTGGAAACCCGCTTCGATGTAGGTGGTGAGTGACATGACCTGGTCCGCGCAGCTTCGTTCTGGTCGAAAACCCGCTTGTTCGACTGGGATCACCTGGAACAGTTCTGTACTGATTCTATTATATATAAGCCTCTCTAATAGTTTGTAGATGGCAGAGAGAAGCGCAATTGGTCTGTAGTTTTTTGGGTTGTCAGCGGGTTTGCCTGGCTTTGGTATGGCTATTATCTTAGAGCGCTTTAGTTCTTGTGGGATATTTCCAGTTTCCATGATGTCTGTGAAAAATCGAGCCAACCAAACTTTTGTATACTTGCCACAATTTAGAAGGAATTCAGGGTGAATATTATCAAATCCTGGTGCTTTTGCTGGCTTAACATCTTTTGAAGCCTCTGATATGTCTTCGCTGGTGAAGGGGGGGGGGAATGCTCCGTTTCTGTGGCTACATGTTTTAAAGTTGTAAGTTCTCTCTTTAGAGTTTTCTATTTTCTATGAAAAGGCCAAAAACAGAAACTTTTACAAATTCGACATGAATTTGGACATAACGCTGAACCGCTCTTGATCGCAGCTCCAACGAAAGTAATCTAATTATCCTCAAAATTAATTCATATAAGTTAGAATAAACAAAGCACTTGAAATAAACAAAACACAACGAAAATTAAGACGTAGATTATTAATTTGAAAACGTAGTACATCGGGCGGCTTAAATCAAAGAATTATCGACTGGAAAATACGCAGCCACGAAATAAATAAACAACTCTAAAATGGTTTTTATTACTTGGCGACGCTGAAAAGAACGAAATATTATTTGGGTTTTAAATTGAAAGATACGAACTAAGAAACATGGGAAAAGAATCTTCGTTATTTTAATACATTTATAACGGGATTTCAATTTAATACATATACGAGGGGATTTCAATATATTTCAAAGAATCTATATATCAAACGATTTGTAAATGCTACACCATTACCACAAAAATATCTCGGTTGTAGATAAAATTAAGGCCAATCAACATCTTTATAGTTAGTTTACTCTAGAATTTTAAAGTTCTGTGTTAATATCCATAGAAGTCATTATAAAATGAAGCAGTAATAGGTCCAAGGAAAGCCCCAAGGTCATTGCAATAGACCTCCATAGCAATGGCAAATATTCCAAAAAAGTTCCTTAACCAACAGTATATGTAAATGGCGTATAACAGTTGATCGAGGTGAATGGAGGAAGATAGTTAATCAAACCGTCCAAGCATCGAGAAAAATAGTTTGCACTTCTTTTGTAAAATTAGACTCTTGTGCAGAGCAAATAAGGGACGACTCCCTACACGGATTTAAACACCGAACTTAAAAACTATTATAATGGCTATTTCTTAATAAATTCAATAAATACTTATATTGCAAAATTTTATATATTTTCCCGTAATATTATGATAAACCATTCTGCAACATTTGAATGATACACCGACTTTCAGATCTATCTTGCGCTGCTGTAATCCAGTTGGTACAAATCCACTTTATCTCGTCAGTGTCTTCTTGGGTTTCGTCTCTATCCGCTCTCGGTCTCCACTCCAAGATTTTTTTGGTCCACCTATTATCCTTCATTCTAGCGACGTGTCCTGCCCACCTCCATTAAATTTTTGTTATTTGTTTTATAATGTCTTCTAATGGCACCATCTTTAATTTAAAAATATTACACATAATGTGTAAGTGTCCTACCTTAAATGAGTCGCACTGCATTTTGATAAAATTTAACCTACACGATACCAATTTTCAATAATCCGTTACGATTTAATTTACAGATAACATTTTCCCGATCTGTTTACCCCAACAACTTGAAGAAGCTGAAGTTGGTGATGAAGTAACTGAAGTTGGATGGTTAAAAAAGAGTCCAATAAAACTGAATACCAAACTTACAATAGTTGACACTAAACTATGCCAGGAATATTACAAAGTAGAAGATTATAATATAACAACAGTAACTGAAAAAAATATATGCGCAGGGGGATACGAGACCAAAATTTGTACTGGTAAGTTTTACAAATATTTTTTGGTTATTATTACAATTCTATGTACCAAACATGAAAATTTAATAAAATATTTTCTCTGTTTTTTTTTTCTATATCGAAAATTTTTACATGTAATTGTACCATACCACTGGTGTTTGAATGCCATTAATAGTTTTTAAATTAGTATTGGTAAGATTAATTAATTTATTTTTATTTATTTTCAATAACTTTTAATTTATTATTAAAACATTTGAGTTATCATTTTGTAGTTCAAATTCTAACTCTGAATTATTGGCAAGTTCAATTTAACCATCTTTATTAGTTTGACTCATGGACGTATAAACACATATGGACTCAGTTATTTACATAAAATTGTGAAGTCAAAATTATTTGAATAGGTCACCTTCTCAGCACCTTCAACTGTTGTCACGTTTTGTTTTAAAATTTCTTATTCGCGAGTCGCTGAAAATATTACTCCGTATTTTATACTCTACAGGTGCTATCAAACCAAAATAATAATTTATTGGTTAGATTAATATATTTAAAGTAGATGAACAAGGCGGGTGTGACTATCAGAATAGGGAAATCAATGTGTTAGAGAGAGAAGTCAGGCCATGGCTATAGACATAGGGAAAACAATGTGTTAGAGAGAGAGACGTGACATCGCGTTAGGCGAGTCGTACGGTGCGCGAACCAGATGTGCGTTCGGTACCTAAATTTTTCACGCGATGCATCGGACGCGAGGTGGGTCGTACGGTGCGCGAACCAGATGTGCGGTCGGTACCTTAATTTCTCATGCGATCGGGATCTCGGAGATAAGGGCGTGGCTGTTCATAACCTCCGTGGCTTAGCGATGTGCATGCTTAGCTTCGGTGCGGCTGGTCCCAGGTTCGAATCCCACTCAAGGAAGAATTTTTTATTTAATAATTTTAAAATGAAACATAATTAATCGAGCTGTGGTCCAATGACGTCACCCCAGTCATGGTCACGTGACATTGACGCAGGATGTGACAGTCAACGCAGAATGTGACATTCAGCGTGAGATGTCACGTGAAATGACGTGAATGACGTGACATTCCACGCGAAATGTCACATAGACGCAAGACATAGCAACGCAAGGCGTTGCTTGATATAAAACGTAATATTCTACATAGAACATATTCAGCATTGGCCCAGAACGTGACAGTCAACGCAGAATGTGACATTTCGCGTGAAATGTCACGTGAAATGACGTGAATGACGTAACATTCGACGTGAAATAACGTGAATGGCGTGACATTCGACGTGAAATGTCACATTAGATGCCATTCCACGCGAAATGTCACATTAGACGCAAGACATGGCAACGCAAGGCGTTGCTTGATATAAAACGTAATATTCTCATACAACATATTCAGCATTGGCCCTGAACGTGACAGTCAACGCAGAATGTGACATTCAGCGTGAAATGTCACGTGAAATGACGTGAATGACGTAACATTCGACGTGAAATAACGTGAATGGCGTGACATTCGACGTGAAATGTCACATTACATGCAAGACATGGCAACGCAAGGCGTTGCTTGATATAAAACGTAATATTCTACATAGGGCATATTTAGTAGTAATATGAATCCCATCGAGTACATACATAGAGTAAAAGAATTTCAAAGAAAACTTAATCAGTTAAAGAAAGACATTAAATCATATGAGGATTTTAAACAAATTACAAGACAATTAGATAGCCTGCATCTTGACAACAAAACGTGGAAACCGGAAGAGTTGAATCTACAGCAGCAAGACACCTGGATTTACGCCTGTAGAAAACTGCCGCCAGCTACATATCCATTAAGACGTATTCAACCAACACCATGTTTGTCAACAACATCACGGGTGTCAGCAACAACACCAGCGACCATATGAAAAGTGAAATAGACAATGTTTTTGCAATGTCTTGTGTAATATTAGCATCTGTATTTATTTTAATTTTAAAAATTATTTATGAAATTGTAAGGAGAAAATTTGAATCTTCATGTAATATAAGACTCGATCAATAAAGGTGTTTTAAATAAAAAGCGTTTAATCTCTAAAATATTTATTTATACATATAATTACAAAGGTATTATGTTATTGGTAAACCAGTGACGTAGACGATCCACATTTCTTTCGGTGCATGAAAATAATCCAGCGGCATGACATGGGTTTGCAGTAGGGCCAACGTTTCCAGTAGCATGAGGCGTACCATCAAACTTGCAAACATCAATAATAATGGGAAAAAACTCCAAAAACGTGACGTTTTTTATCCAAATATTCTGCTTTTTGTTCTCCTCGAACGTAGATGTAATCTGCTGCATACAACAACTTGGATTCTAGTATTTCATTGATTTTGGACAATTCTACGTGTCCATCAGAGTATCGAATTCCAAGCAGTTTTTTCTCCACGTATGATGCAGTCTTCTTATCCCCATTACTTAGCGCATTAAAAGGTTTCTGAGGCAAGAAGATGTAATGACTTCGTTTAAATCCTATTTCAATGGTAAGTTCTTTGGGAACGAACCATCCGTCCACATCGAATCCCTGAATGTCTACGAATGCTACTCTCATGATGACTGCTCGCGTACTACTGGCAATTTATGCATCTAATTTAGACTTTTTACAATTTCGGAGAGAGGGAAGTACTCCATTACACAGTCGTGAATTATAATGCAATAAGCCTTGGTATTTTCGGGAAAACCATTATTCGCTTCAATATCGAGTTTTACGTCAACAGTGGATGCTTTCATGCTTTCTTCTTGCTTCGAACAATCGATGACGAACAATGTGTGTTGTGCGAAACCTGAGAAATCGAGCAGAGGACGCTTTTGTTGAGAATGTATGTAGCTAGGATAGAATTCGGTATAATTGAAATATGCCTCATTGTAGTCAGTTTTGCTAAAATCCAACTGCATTCTCTCGTTTGGCCAATATTCTCCATTTAAAGATAATCTGATACTTTGTATGTGGATATTGTCAAATAAGGTGGGATCGGCGTCGCTTTTGTCACGTTTATTGGTTTGAAAGAAAACAATGACATAACGAGGTCTTTCCACTGCATTGCTAGTTTTTACAGCCCAAACTTCACGTCTAGCGCCTTTGGTAAGTGCTGGTAATTCATGCAATTCCCACTTTCTAAAAGGAATAACTATAGGTTGATCTTGTTGAATGGATTTCATAAGTTCCAATTTAATATCATCATTGGGAAATATGTGCTTGACTCTGAGCTCAATATTGGTAATGTTAATCTTAACAGTTGTAACATGACCTGGAGTTTTTTCTTTGACAATTATGCAATCGTTGTCATTTCGAGCTCGAACTAGTCTTATTGTTTGACGACCACACGTAATCATAGGATAATCATTGAAAATGTTGAAAACATGCTTAAGAGGCATCTGTATGTTGAATGAATGATCGGCAGCGTGTAGAATTGGATCCTTAGGGTAATTCCACCCCGCCATTGCCATATGACTGGAATCTTCTTGAGTATAACAGGTCATAGCACGTACAGCGCTTACGATACCAGGATCCCGCACTGTTTCCATCTCCCTTGCGCTTTCGCTGTACGTACACGAATCGAAAAGAAAAGCACCCACATTATTGGCTAGTTTGACTTCACCATTGCCGTTTATTGCGAGCGATCCTTTAATGCATAACAAGGTTTCACTCATTGCAAAAAACGAGTCAACTTGATTGATGCTAAATTCTACAATGTCATTACAGTTGAATGATTTGATGAATGGTGCATATGTTCGGTATTCGGCCTTTCGAATTGATTCGTCAAACATCGGCTTACGATAAATATCAAATATTGGAGGCATTATGCTGTTTGAACGGGATCGTTTTCCATACATGGTTGTCATTTTTTCAGCTTAAAACCAAGTGATTGTAAAAACAATTTGTTTGCAAACGTAAGATGTTGCCGCTTAGATGAGGACGTACGATGTTGTCGCTCAGACGGCTGCACAACTAATGGTGTACTATGGGCAGTAGATTGTCTTATTACTAATCCCATTTCCCACGTGATCTAAGTTCCAACACCAATGTGCTCTGTTCTCCTCGAAAGTTTACAGGGCGTCCGTCTTGATCGACAGCCAACACAGTGATATTGGTAATTTCTCGTTGCGGTACAACAGGTAAATACAACAAATTGTGTGGAGTTTCGTCAATTGCGTACCCAGGATTTGATTGTATGACAAATTCGTAGATCGTGTGAGCAGGTCTGTTACCATCGAAGGCCCCGGTACTAATGTTGCATTCAAAGCGTATGCTAGATACTTTAATAATTCTAACAGGTCGATCTGAAGAATGTATCTGTCCAGGATTGAGTAATGTTGGAGAAAATCCCAATACTATGCCAAGACTGTCAGGTTGCTTAAACGAAATCTTATATTTGCAGAAAATTTGACACTGCAACGTGTTGTGGTTAGGTTTTAGACTAAATATCGTTTCTGGTTTAAGCACATTATCAGCACCCAATTTCTTTTGTATGTATTCTTCAATATCGGCAATTTCATAACATCCATCGGGGAAATCAAATTTTTGTAATTGGTTTTTGTCATTGTAGTAATAAAACTTTGTATTTTCAATGTTTGGAATACTGTTGTAGGAATGGAAAGCACGAAGAGCTATTTCATAATCTTTTTTCGAGTCCAACACGATCGGTGTGGAAGGTTGAAATGAGAATATGTAATTGGTGCTGTCTACTCTCAACAACTGCGACATGATGACTGACTCACATCAATCTAGTAATAGGTTATATTAGAAAAACAATATTTACTTTAATAGTTTTATTTGTTCCAAAGCAAGTTTACATAAATGACATGAAGCTTGAGAATCAGGTGGACCATCCCAGTGAGTCCTCCAATCCGGTCTGTTGTAATGTACGAAGCAGGGAAGTAGTATCTGCAGGTTAAATTCTCCTCGATAGTCTTCAGGCAATTTATGCCATATACTTAACAATTCTGAAGGTCGTACAGTTCGTATAAGATAATCTAGCGGTATGTATTTTAGTTCTTCTTCACTGAATTCTGTAAAATATTTTCTGCGAAACATATGGTCCATAAGAAGTTCCGTACTTTTAGTAGGCTCCATTATATAAAAACTTTAAGCATAAATGTCCACAAATAATTTGATTGTAGGTTTGATACTGATGATTATTATAGGAAATGTTGGCACCACCCAGATACTTAACAAGTTCTTTGGTCGGCTTCAAATTACCAAATGAATCGAAATACTCTACGTTGTTGTTTATCTTTCTGTATGCTACCCAATGTGTTCCGCTATGTGTGGACACATCCAAGTTTACTATTGCACATTCTCGTTGTCGAGGACCGTCTCTAGGCAGAGCGTCATTCATGAAAACGCCTCGAAAATTTGGTATTTTAAGTATTTTCGCATAATGTGCAATCTCCACATCATATAGCGGACGATTGGGTAGCTTCATTGGAAGTTTTTTTTCAAATACAAGCCGAATCCACCTCTGGGTTTCTTACGTAGGTACAGACCCGAACCGATGTGTTCCATCGCTTTATTATGACGTATATCTTCTTCCAATTTCTTTTGGGCATTCTTTGCGTCGACTACTGTCTTGGCCACTCCGGCAGCACCCCCCGCTAAGGCCCCCAAAGCGGAAAGGCCTGCAAATAGAGGTATAAGAGGTAGAAAACCTCCGGATTTAAGTGGAAGTACTCGAGGAACATCAACTTCTTTACGACCACCAAGTCTTTTGATTATGGATTTTGCTATTCGTACAGCAGTCAAAGCAGTATCTGTTAACGATGCCCCTCTTTTCATGGACTTTGCAATTTTTGAGACAACATCTCGATTGAATGAGTAACGTCCCCGTCTTCCACGACGAGAGCATCCCATTCCCAACTTTCTCTTCGTTTTCATTCCGCCAGTTACAATTAAAGCAGCACTTTTTTCACCAATGCTAGCGTCTTTCGACTTGAAGCGCTCCCAGGCTCTATCTTCCAATTCTTTATCGGCCTTGTGACGTTCTTCGAGAGATGAATGCTGTGAATAAGCGATATCGTGTCGTTTGCAAGCTGCGTCTAATGGGTTAATTCCTGGATCTCCACGTGCAAGACGTTTTTGTAGTTTTGTTCCGGGACCACAATACTGATAACCAGGAATATGTAGTTCAACTGGAAGTTTATTAATTACAGAGTTAACGAGACCTCCTCCTTCGACGACCAACATTGGACTGATACCATGCAAGTGGCGACATCTATAATATATTGTCGTACTTATGTACTACACTTGCCACACGATGAAGATCGTTCAGCAAGAGCAGACGCTACCAATTGATAATCTAGACATTGTACAGAAAGTGACAGTCAGTAAACATGGTAAATTACTACCAAACTCGTTTAGAGCCATTATTTGCGGTCCAAGTGGATGCGGGAAAACGAATGTCATGCTATCTCTTCTGTTTAATCCTAATGGCGCCAGATTTAAAAATGTCTATGTTTATTCGAAATCCCTCTTTCAACCGAAATACCAACTACTGCAAGATGTAATAGCGCAAGTTAAAGGTGTAGGATATTACCCATTTAAAGACAACGAAGAAATTATTAGTCCCAGCGAAGCTAAACCCCACTCGGTGTTTTTATTTGATGATGTTGCATGTGATGGTCAGCAAAAGATTCGCGAGTATTATTCCATGGGTAGGCATAAAGATATCGATGCCGCTTATTTATGTCAAACATATTCAAAAATACCGAAGCAGTTAATTAGAGATAACTGTAACATGATTGTACTATTCAAGCAAGACGAGATAAATTTAAAGCATGTATTTGATGAGCACGTATCACCAGACATGTCGTTTGATGAATTTAAAAAAATTTGTTCTGAATGTTGGTGTGATAAGTATGGTACTTTGGTAATTATAAAAGATTTTGCTCTCAATAATGGCCGATATCGCAAAGGATTTGATAAATATATAAAATTGTAAGATAATTGTTTAGTCGTTGACACAATGTCAGATGATGCGGTTGCCATTGCCCTTCGCAAGAAGAAAGTCGCCGAATTGGCTAGATCGATTCGCAAAAAATACTTGGCATTAAAATTAGGCCGAACAGAACAAGATGAGTCCCTAAATAAACTGTTTAAACCACTCTCGAAACCTCTCAAAGATATTGCGCAATCATCAAAAACCTTACATCATACAATCACTAATACGTTTGAGCAAGTTAAAAAAGAAGAAGTGAAAAAGGAGGAGGAGGAGAATGGTGATGATGATGATGTATTTCTTGATGCACCTGATCTAGCGATACCTGATGAAAACGTTATTCAAGAACCAATCTCTAACGAGATTCCGATGGATGCCACAGACGAATATATCGATCAATATCCTCCAATAAGTCACAAGTACATAAAAGAATATTTAATAAAAGACGATAAAATTGATAAAAACTATGGTCCATTTTACGATTCTATTAGTGGCTGGATAATGGGAAAACGTCGAATAAACTTTGACAAACGCAATGGAGACATAATAATAATTCGAGAACGTAATTTAGAAGAACGTAGGTTAGGTGGTACGCCAGGTCTATATCAACTTTTATTTTATGCCAACCCAGAACAGTATAATGATGAGGATTTACAAAAGTATAAAACACTGTTAAAAAACACAGAGATTCATCTGGATACCTTAGGACGTCTTAAAGGTTCCAGTGGAGAAAAATACCATTCTATTATTAAACCTCTATTCAAACCATCTGATACAGCAATGAAAAAACACGCACCACCTGCAACTCGATCGAAAAAAGAACTCGAATACAAAACGAAAACAACACGATCATCGCCATCTACGGCCAAAGGAACGGGATTGGATGACTCTCGTTTAACATACAACACTGCACCCATGGAGTATATTTATTGGGATGATCCAAATGAGTTAGTTGAACGTCTTAAACTATTGGTGGCTTCGAAAGACGCTGGCAACACATCTCTCGACAACGAAATCGTAGCCATCATCAATGAACTAAAAGAAGCTAATATAATAGAGTAACTGGGGAAATGACGACATCATTTCCATTATGAGTGTCGACAAGTTCGGTCATCACTCTCGTAGTAGTAACGCCCAAAAGGTGGCGCGAATCACATTTCCACATACGTCTGACGGAAATATTAATGCCGAAAATGTGAAAATTTGCAATGTCAAGGACCCAACAAACAATGACGATGCTGCAACGAAAAAATACGTTGATGGACAAATCAATGAGTTACATAATCTGCACCAAACACATGGTGTGCTGTTGCAGCAAAAAACTAATGACATACAAAATTTAACCATCGGTCTAAACGATGCAAGACAGGAGCTTCATGAAACTACGGTCCCACTTCTCGAGCAAAAGTTACAAAAAATAATCAAAGATGGTCTGGAAACACTAAAATTCCAAATGTCTACAGGACTAAAGCATGCACAAGAAGATCTTGATAAAATTAAAGCTACAGTAAAAGAAGAACTTCGTAAAACTATACTTCCACTTCTAGAGCAAAAGATACGAAAAATAATCAAAGATGTCCAGAATACACTAAACAATGATTTGGAAAACAATACAAATATGGTATTAAAACTAATTAAAGATGATTTGAAAATACTGAAAAAGGATATGGAGGATGCTCTCGAGCAAAAGTTCCAAAAAATAATCAAAGATGGTCAGAATACACTAAAAAATGATACGGAGAACAGTATAAATATGTTGAAAAAAATAATCCAAGATGATTTTAATACACTGAAAAAGGATACGGAGAACAATCTAAAATCTGCTGCAGAAACAGTTGCAAAGCATACGATGTACGATATAAAGATGGAACAGCGGATAAAACAAGTGGAACAATCATTAAAAAGCATAGTAGATAGCGTTCATTCATGGGATATAGACAAACGTCTTAAGGTAGTAGAAGGTGCGTTAAAATAATGTCTAAAGAAAAGAAAGAAGTGGTGTATGAGTTGCATAAACCAGCACGAAAAAACTATCCTCGTCGACGAACAATAATCAAAGGAATCGATGACTTGTGGCAAATGGATTTAGCTGAAATGCGTCCTTATGCCCACCAAAATAAAAATTACAAACTAATACTAGTTGTAATTGATTGTTTTTCAAAATTTGTGTGGACACGTCCTCTAAAAACGAAGACTGGTGAGGAAATTACTCGGGCATTTTCGGATATTCTCGCTCATACTCGGCGACTTCCCAAAAACCTACAATCTGATCAGGGAACTGAATTTTACAACAGAAAATTTCAAAATTTAATGAAAAAACACGAAATTAATCATTATAGCACATACACGATTAAAAAAGCTGCCATTTGTGAAAGAGTTATTAGAACGTTAAAAGCAAAGTTGTACAAGTATTTCAGTTTACATGGATCATACAAATGGATCGATATCTTACCTCAAATTACTGAGGAATACAACAATACAAAACACAGTAAAACAGGATACAAACCGTCTCAGGTTAACAAATCCAACGAAAAAGCCATTTTAAACAAAAGTTATAGCCATTTAAAGATTGCTGGCCCGAGAAAATTTAAAGTTGGCGATATTGTACGTGTCTCAAAGGCAAAACATTTCTTTGAAAAGGCCTACACACCCAATTGGACTACAGAATTATTTAAAATTGTACAAGTTAAGATAACAAATCCTACAACGTATTTGCTCGAAGACATGCAAGGTGCACCGATTAGCGGCGGTTTTTATGAAGAAGAGTTGCAGAAAACATCAAACTCTGACATATACCTGGTTGAAAAAGTACTTAGACGAAAAGGCAATAAGATGTATGTCAAATGGTTAGGAATGGATAGCAAACACAACAGCTGGATAAATAAATCAAATATAGTTTGAGGATCTATATTTTGATACGCCGCGTAGACATACACTTTTCCAAAAATGCTGGCAATTAACCACAAGGAGTGGGGGATGACAAAAGTATAAATTTAAGAGAAACTACGATGATCAGTTTATATACACTTTGTCAACGGTGTTCGAAAAAACAGTAGTGACATGGGTTCTCAAGATAGTGGTTATTCTTCAGACAAAGACTATAATCAAGAATTATATAGAACTTTGGAAAATTATGAGGCTGCCGCCAAATTAGAATTCTGCTACCTACTTGCAACAACATGCACAGTATCGGGCTATGAAGTACAATGTGGTATAAGCCCTGCAAGATCATTTACTCCTGCAGTGATTTTATCTCAACAATATAAACCTAGCAGAATATCACTTAGCGTATACGAATGGGCTTCCTTTATTTCAATAATCACACAACAACTAATTGATTTTTTTCAATCAACTGATGAGAACGAGCTTCAAACTTTTCTATGCGGAGAATACTGCACTGTTACCACAGTAGTTTACGATAATTGTAAATTCATCATTGTTAAGAAGCATGGTGTGGAGTACTATATGGACGAAGAAGAAGTGAGACAAATTGTTGAACTTAACACTAGTGTGATATCGTCTCGTATGCAGTTGTTAGAAAATTTGAACTTTTGTGAATATTATTATGAAGTTTTAGATTTTTGTAAAAATACTGTAATAGATAGTTTAAGTCCCTTGCAAATATTGTATGCGTTTTGTTCTATAATGCCAAATGACTTAACAAATAATGCTCTTAGGGAATTCGTTTATTTTTATAAAAATAAGGTAATTATTGATTTGAATAAATAATAAAATTGCAAATTTAGAGTTTTTATTTTCACATAAAATATGACTATGACATATATTGACAATATACAAGAAAGAGAAAAATTGTAGCCTATTTATATATTTTTATTACAATATACAAGAAAGAGAGAGATAGCTTATGGATATTAGACATTGTCATTCATCTCAAAAGAATCAATATCACTGTCTACTTCAGAATCAAACCCGGTTTTCATCAAGAATTGGTATCTTTTATTTCAAGTATTATTTTTTTTCCTCAACTAGATCTAAGTCCAACAAAACTAATGATAAAATATAAATTATTTTTTATATCTGTGTTTACAATTATTTGTATCGATAAACCCCACAGTTTAGACACCCACATGGCCTCTCTTTTTGACAGTTCTTCACAATTTGTAGTTTTAATTCTCTTATACAATTTACGTTTAAACTGGATTGTATTTGATGGGGTATCTTAAAATACACGGTACATCCTTGCTTACTGGAGAGGACGTTGCTCTCCACTTGCAAGCGTAAATGTCTTTGTATAAGCATCAACTACAGCCCAATAAACTTTATTGGCTGCTATTTGTTGTAGTTTGGGGGGAGTCCATAGGTCTTCTACTGTGGGTGTAACACACCTGTATGGCATTGTTTCATCAACGTTCTTCTGCAATAAAAAAATCTATTCTAAAATCCTGTAATGCTCCCATGGTATCGTTCTAAAACTATTAGAAATTAAATATCTTTTATCCCCATAAGGACTTAGCGCAATTTTTGTTTGTTCTAAACTATAGACGTTATGGCTATATGACCGAATGGAGTGTTGAGTAGCAGTTGTTTTATAGTTGGACCTCAGCGGTTCAACAGTACAGACGTGCAGCGAAGAGCGTAGCGACGAGTAGCGAAGCGTGCTTTGGTGGGGGCAATCGACCTGAACGCAACGGAGCTTATTAGCTCCGGGTGAGTAAGACACCCAGTTTGCACAGGCCTTTGTCCTTCAACAAAGTGAAAAGCGGATGCGGGGCTATTTTTAAGTTAAACCGCCGAGGGGTTGCCTTTATAGGCTCCTCGCGGAGGCTTTTAATAGCTTCGTGTCAGCGAAAAATACGGGTTCACCTCAGTGGGTCGACAGGTATGACACTGTAAGGCCTAGTTTTGAAATCTAGGTCGGACAGAAACGGCCCCTGCCTCTGAGGTGAGAGAAACTTGAAGAGGATCCCTCCCTGAGAAATCAGGGAGAGAACTACCGAGAGGTTGCTGGGACGACACCCAGGAAAACCGTCAGGCAGCGGCCAGGCGGAAAGACAAAAACAGAGTCTTCAGAGTAGCAAACTCAATATAGTCTTTTGAACACTTATGTTCACTGCCTTACGGCATTATGAGTGATCCCTCTCCCCAAAAAAGTGATGTCACGCAGGTGACATCACAAGAAAAAGAAGATGATGACAATTCCAAGTCACCCACCCCGTCAGTTACATCTGCAATTAAATTATATAATGAATTTACTTCAAATTTAAAACCCGAATCCGCGTTAATCGTAGAGACTTCAGACGACGAATCGTTCATCCCGGACGAAGAAGATGCCGAAGAAGACGAAAGCGAGGTGGAAACAGACGACAGCGTCTCGATCACCATGGAAGTTACCCTCGACGAAGAGCTGAGCCCGGCCACCGAGTCGATTGTAGCCCCGCCCCCAACAAACGATGAAATAGCCCCCATAGTGGACATCATCTCCACCGCAACTAATGCCGAGCCTGAGGTAGGTAGAAAGAAAAAACGGCAAAGGCCAACCGCAGACTCCTCAGAAGACGAGGAAGAAAGAAAAAGAACAAAGGAAAAAGACGAAAATGAGCTCTATAAGTCGGTAGATCTACTGACCGAACAGATCAGACTGCTCAAAGAAGAGAGCCGTCAAAGGGAAAAACAAGCAAATGCTCAAATACAAGACCTCCTAACTCAGATGACTGAGTTACGGAAAGAAAACAAGGCAAAGGACGAAGAAATCAAGAAGCTGGTCGGCCATATAATGGCTCTGACCGAAAGAAATGAAAGGAAAGAGCTAGAAGAAAAGAGAAGAGACGAAGTCATCTGGGAAATAACCAGACCAGGAAGCCCACCCTGGATGGGAATCGCCGCCCCTTCTACGTCTGGTTGCGGAGGAAAGCCAAAAGAACAGAAGGTAATACAAGAAAAAGAAAAAAGCGAAGCAGGATGGACAAAAGTCCAAAAAAAGGAAAAAACAAAAGGCGCCGCTACTGAGAAATCAGTCAACAGTAGCGAGAAACCGAAAAAAGCACTGAGTGTTGTTGAGAAACAAACTCAGAAAATCAACGAAAGAAAAGATGAAGCGCTCACAAAAGCTGCTAAAGAAATACAAAAAAGAAGTGAGCAAAAAAAAGCCCAGAAAAACTTGGAGGTACCGAAAGAACCTCAAGTTCTTTCCATTGCAATCCTCTAGACATTGTAATCGTTTTGACCCTGGGCGCAATAGAACTAAACTATTCGCAGCCCCACAAAAGAAAGATAACAAGTTGGCCAAACTTTAGAAGAATTGTGAGCGAAAACATCGGTAACATCCCAACAATAAACAACATCACAGAACTAGAAGACAGCGTAACCAAACTAGAAGAAACTATAATTAATGCTATCGATGCCAGCTCCAAAACCGAAACAATCACAAGACAAAAAGGAAGATTCGGAGATATAAGTCAGGATCTACAAGACTTAATTAAAGAAAAAAACAGAAAAAGAAGAAGAGCCTATCGTACTAGAACATTAGAAGATAAAAGGATTGCAAATGAGCTAGACAGGGAAGTTAAAAGACAACTACGAAATCACAGAAATGAAAGCTGGGACAACTATATCCAAGAATTAGACCCTAACAAATCCGCCTTCTGGAAATTATCGAAAATCCTCCGACAGGACAAGAAACCCATACCTCCCTTACATGGAGTAAACGGGATTGTCCACACGGAAATAGACAAAGCTGAAGTCCTAAAGGACGAACTAGAAAGGGCATGTAGAAATAACGAAAATCCCAATGAAGACATAGACTTTGAAGAAGAGGTAGAAAGAACAGCCAGAAGACTAAAGAGAAGAAAGGGCAGAGTAGGAATAACACATACATCTCCCGAAGAAATAAAAGAGCTAATAAAACTAACAAACGCCAAAAAAGCCCCAGGACCTGACAACATCACAAACAGGGCACTAAAAAATCTACCCAACAAAGCTACTGTCTACATAACGAACATTGTAAACAACATGCTCAAACTAAGATATTTTCCAGATAGATGGAAGGAGGCACAAATTATCATGATTAAAAAACCAGGGAAGGATGGCATTTTTCCGCAAAATTACAGACCTATCAGCCTACTATCATCAATAAGCAAGATAGCGGAAAGAGTTATATTAAAAAGACTCAACGACGAATCGGAAGCACTAGGCATCATACCAGAAGCTCAATTTGGATTCAGAAGCGAACATTCATGCGAACTACAAGTTCTACGTTTTACTGAATTTACAACAAAAGGCTATAACGAAAAAATGTATACGGCAACAGCATTTCTGGACGTCAGTAAAGCATTTGACAGGGTCTGGCATGACGGACTCATTTACAAAATGAACTCTATGGGATACAGCGAGGCGATGACATGCCTCCTTGGATCATACCTAGCCAACAGAAGGTTCAGGGTTCGAACGGGGGCAACTCTGTCCGAAGTCGGGATCCTGGAAGCAGGTGTGCCTCAGGGAGCTGTTCTGTCGCCTTACCTGTATACCATCTATACGGCCGACACGCCAAAAGAACCAGGTTCCCTGTTGAGTCTTTACGCCGACGACACAGCAATAGCTGTTAGCTGGAGAAATCCAGATCATGCAGCTAATCATCTGCAGAGAGCACTTAGTAGATTCGAAAGATGGTGCATCAAATGGAAAATAGCCTTAAACCCGGATAAAACACAGGCTGTAATGTTTAGTCACAGAAGAAGTGTACCGAACCGAGAACTAATGATTGGGAACACCCCAGTAGAATGGACAAACGAGGCCAAATACCTAGGAGTGTTACTAGACAAAAAACTCACATTTACGCAGCACATAAATCAGCAAACGTATAGAGCCAAAGCGCTGAAAAATCAGCTCTCAACGCTTATTGGTAGAAGAAGTAAGCTAAGGTTTAAAACCAAAATCAGGATTGCGAATAGTATTATCCTGCCAGTCCTTTCGTATGCCTCTGCTGCGTGGGGACACACCTGTAAAACAAACAGGAAAAAAATACAAACAGCACAAAATCAACTAATAAGAGATGCCCTGAACTTACCGAGATATGTACCTCTGAGAAATTTATACAGAGACTCAGGACAAACAAGGATCCTTCACACAATGGACAAAAAGGCATACGAACTATTCAACGGACTAAACAACCACCCAAGTAGCATGTTAAAAGAGCTGACTAACTACAACGCAAATACCAGGACGGTACACAGAAGACCTAAACAGCAAATAGCCGGATATAGGGTCCCCAACGAATAAATGAAGAATGAGATGGTCGCAAAGACGTCAAATAAAAGAATGCAGTCATCAGAAAAACAACCACCAAAAAAATATCTATTTTTAGGACTCTGGCGAGAGGATACAGGTGCCAAGGCACTTAGTTAAGGACAATATACACCGGGGTGTGTGGAGGCCATATACACCCTGCAATGCACACCCCAACACACCCACACAAATTAGCATGTAAGAATAAAAGGGTAAGAATTGTGCCGGCATTTTATAGTCCCAACGCCAAGGAAGACCCCATAAAACAAAAAAAAAAAAAAAACAAAAAAAAAAAAAAAAAAAAAAAAAAAAAAAAAAAAAAAAAATCGGTTGTTTTTCTTTTAAATTCAGAACTTCAAAAATCAATTTCAATTCATTAAACGTTTTAACGTAAAATTCATCCTATTTTTCTATATAGAAGGCCCGTCAGGCCTTCTATATACCGCTGATGCGGATTAGGCCCTTAAGGCGGATCAAATGAATGCTGATCCTTTTCGCGACACCCGAGCACTGAGGTCATGTGCGGCAAGCATGGGCTCGGTGGCCGGACACACTTCGGGCGCCCAGCCGGCGAGGAGAACAAAATTTACTTTTGCCAAATCGGCGGCTGAGTGACCGAGCACACACTTTTTTTCGGACATGAAGTCGACAGCCCAGGCTGTCGGCTTCATGGACGGAACACACGCTCTTTTTCTTTTTTTTTTTAGGGACTTCAGTCCCGAAGTGAAGTTAGAGTAAAATCTATAGAGTCAGTAAAGTAAATAGGGAGAAAAGCCTAGATGTGGCTACCCCTACAGTCAGGTGGCATAACCACAGTAATTAAAAACAGGAGGTGTCTCATTACCCAGGGCACCTCAAGTAACTTTCAGATCATAAGCCTCCTCACGTAAGTCACACGATGAGGAGGGGTGGTGGAAAAGCCTGGGGGTCAGATAGGTACCACTTCAACTAGTGAAGTGTGACCGGTTTGATCTTCGGACATGTGGATCCCATACTTAGTTTGGTATACACATGTTCCTAGGGGTAGGGTTGATCGCTTAGCGTGATTGTGTGTGTAGCAGTTTGTTCCCTAAAATCATTTAAATAGTTTACATAATCATCGAATTTTATAACATTTTTTACTATATTATATTTAGTCCCTTTTGCTTTTTTAGTGATTCGACTAGATTGAACTTTAAAAGTATACATTTTTGGTCGTAATCCCACAAATTTTGTCATAATTTCTTCTTTATTTTCATCCTTCATTACTCCTAAGACTTTTTTCATTTACGCGAGGAATATTTTATATATATTATCTACAGCGTAATCAGATGTATCAAATTTTGATAGATCTTGCTTTATTACTTCCTCATATGCATCATGACAGTACAGTTCATAAATAAAGCTATCGGTATCCATATACATTAAGTTGCATTTATCTGCGCCCAATTTTGGATCCTCTATGTAACCAGTATATTATAGAGAGACCAGAAGAAGCAGATATGCTGAATCTGAAAGAATGCTGACCGGTGCGTGGACCACTTTGGAAATTAATAAGGCCTTAGAGAAAGGGTATAAAATACAAAATATATACGAGGTTTGGCACTTTGAACAAACTTCTACGGATTTGCTTAAAGGGTACGTTAGTGATTTTATTAAAATAACATTGGAGACTAGTCCACATATGTATGCCTCTAACGAAGAGTACGCTCGGGCTGTAAAAGAGCAAATGGACATAGAGCTCGATTTATCGAAAATAGCCACAAATCCTAGTAAACGAGCAGTCGCTAAAATATGTCTGAATAGTCTATGGGGTAAATTTGGATAAAGGATGAATATGAAACAGAAAGAGTATGTTGTGGACATTAAAAACTTTTACGAAATTTTTTGATGGACGATAAAAATCAACATAACAAATGTCACATTTATTAATGATAATATTGCCCAAGTCTCGTACGATTACAAAGACGTGTTTGTTGAAGATCCCACATCTACAAATATTTTTGTGGCTTTATTTACGACAAGTAACGCTCGTCTAAGACTGTACGATATGATTGATGGGCTAGGAGAGGCTGTAGCTTATTTCGACACAGACTCCATTGTTTACATTGATGATGACCTAAACACTGTCGAAACAGGTGAAATGTTAGGCGATTGGAGTGATGAGTTGTCTGGATATAATTACAAAGTTGAATGGCTCAGTAGAGGTCCTAAAAGTTATTACTACAAAACAGCCAAGGGCAATGAGGTGACTAAAATCAAAGGTTTTACATTAAACCACGAAAACAGCCAGACACAAACAAAAAAGAAATAGTCAGGCCATTAGGACAAAGAAATTAAGCTCACATATGACCAGATCGGTAGGGATACAGAGACCAAAGATATTGTTACGAGAAAAAGGGTCACAAAAACTTTTAAGATGGACTACAAGAAACGAAAAATAATACAAAGTGATGACTCATTAATTGACACAGCACCTCTTGACTTTCAAAAATTATAATATTATATTACGTATTAGACATTGTACATCATTCTGTATTAGATGCTGTTGCCGAAAGACGTGTTTTGTCTCGCTCGGGTTTTCGATAAATTTTGATTTTGTAAAAAATAACAATGTCTGGTCAATGGTCAATAAATATTATAAATCAGCGAGAAATAAAAAAATTCAACGCTTATCTATGCACTTTTCAAGTTAATTGTGACAACTTTAAAATAGGTGAAGGTTTAGAAAATGACAAAGACTATCTTAAAACCATTTAGAGACCGCTCTTGAGAATATAAAAAAGCAAGCTGGATACACAACGGATGACAAAATTAGAATTGTTGCCTTAAATGATGACTTTAGACAGCCGATATCGACAGAAACAAGTTCAAGTGCCAATATGTTGAATGTATTAGAACAAATTAGCAATCTATCGACATTTAACGCAGCTGTCCACCTGAGAAATACAAAATTTGATGTTCAAATCTTATGAATACCTCGTAATTTACCGAAAAACTACTGATCTTCCTTCGGTATGACAACTTTCTGTGGTATCAATGATAATGATGTACAGGGTATCATTCGTTAAACATTAAGACAGAAAATGGTTAAAAACCCAAGCATCAAGAAAGAAAATATAACAAAAATTATTAATATTGTATAAAGTCAAAAATTATGTACATATATAAAAATAAAATGATTGTAATCTTTTAAGGTATTAATACAATATATAATAAAATACAAAGTTTTTTCATTAATAAAACATTCTATATTGTTTAACAAAAAATAACTGTCTTAGAATATGATTTCGCGCGTGCTATATAAAAAGTTTAAGAATATGTGGCATGTGCTAACGACTCGCGCCCATACGGTTTAAGAAATAACTGGGTAAAGGCAAAACTTTCTTAAAAAAAGTCAAAACAACGACAAATATGTAAATAAGGTGTAAATATGAACAAATAAAAAATCTAGCATAAACATGCAAAAGAATGATGTATGCGACAGGTATGCGTCTGCTATGCGTCAGGTATGTGTCTGCTATGCGTCAAATATGTGACAAGTATGCATCAGCTCGCATCTGCTATGCATCAGGTATGTGACAGGTATGCGTCTTCTATGCGTCAAGTAACAGTACTTGATCCTAACCTTAAATATGATTGGTTATATGTATATGGTTTTTTTTTTCGATGACTAAACGATCCCTGTAACTATTCTGTATAGACGTATTTTTCGCTACTTATTATTTAACATTTTAAGTAGTAAAAATATTGCAGTTTAGCTAAAAAACTTTTTATTATTTACAATTCTAACATAATATTTGACTTGTCCTTGAACACATGTCTTTTACGTAGTAAATAGAATGTTAGCTTCTTCCTGTTGTTGATGTCTAACATTAAAAATAATTTCAAATATAACGTATCTTTCCTATGACTAAACTATTCCACGACTTGACAACTGCAATACACCCAGATGCATTTTTTTTTGCTCTAAGATATAAACATGTATATTTTCTTCACGAGTTGGAACAAACCTAATGAGAATTCGCGACTCAGTAACTTTCTCACGAATTTGTATTCGTAAATAAAAAAAAACATATATTTTACAATTTTTAATTATTCGCAAATAAAAAACATATCTTTTACACTTTTAATTATATACAGATACAAGTTTAGATATTAGAGTTTTTAATTGTTGTAAGATATTTTCGTTTGGACAAGGCACTCCAAATAGATTCCAATTAAATGGTCCTGCTGCAATAACTTTTCTTGTAAATTCATTAAATTTATAGTAAGTATTTTGACGGAAAAAGTAAATATGGCCATCAATCCATCGAAGTGCGAGAGAAATATCTTCAGGTATTCCAGGAAATATGTCTTTTATCTGTCCTCTCTGTAACTCGCTAGTAAAATCATTAGAAAATTCTATATATGACATATTATTATAAAATGTGTAGGAGCGCCCAGCATTTGATTGGAAAATAGCATTGATGTGAGCCTTATTGGGTATATTAAGTGAAAAATTATCGATAAATTGAATACTAGGGAATGATGCTGAGAAATATTTGTTTGGAGACACAACTGTAACCAAATCACCGTTTGTTGTTTGAAAAATGTGTTGTAAAGTGTATTGACGTAATTCTATAGGAATATAATCAGCAAGAAGTTCAGGTTGAGATGGAATACTCATTTCGTTCAAGTCTAGTTTCCATATAAACTTATCATAAGCAATATATAATCGGTAGTTTGAAAATTCTGGAGCAGTGGCTAGAAACATAAAATCGGGAACAATGTCACACAAATTTTTGAGGATCGGCTGCTTACGCATTGTAGATCTTGACGTTGTTGAGCTAGCTGTTGTATGGCTTGTACCGGCCGGCTGCTTTTTAGTTGTAGATCTTAACGTTGTTGAGCTAGCTGTCGTATGTCTTGAACCAATCTGTTGCTTACGTGTTGTAGGTCTTGTAGCAACTGGTGTTGTAACCTTTGGGATTGTAGCATATTTATTTTTCTTTTTAGCTCCATATAGATATTGTACTGCATTTATATCATCATCATGTAGAACACTAATTTTATTCTGATACATATTATACATCATAGCATCTGGTGTATCACTATGACCAATGCCGAGAGCATGTCCAATTTCATGAGCTAATACCATAAGAAAACTAGTACGACCTTCAGGTATATTAGAATCATTTCCAAAATACCAGGACTTGGTAATATCTAAATGGATTTCTTTACATTTACCGGCGTGATCAGGAAAATATGAATGTCCTAAAACACCTTGCCCTACTTTACTCGGACACTTATCATTACCCATACAATTTGGCCTAAAATAATGAGTTTTTCTAACCATAGCTATGGTTATATCAGGAGGATCTAGAGTAGGGTTTGTAACCATTGTGAATGTTAAATCTGATACATTTTGCCACATTTGAAAAGCCATTTCTGCATCTTTTTGTGCCTCAACCGTTTTTTGAGGAAAATACCATCGCAGGTGATGTTTTTGCCATGGAGAACTTACTCTAAATTCGTTATCACTGTGTTCGCAACGTGGTCGGCGCATAAATTCTATTGTTACATTATTAAGCAATCCATCCACTGGCAAATTATACCTTTCTTGGAAAGTAATTAACAAAGTAGAGAAATCTGTGGTATTATCGATATTTTGTTCATATTTTTTTAGGTATGCAATAGCGTCTTTTTCAGAGAAATCGTTGCAAAACACGCTTGTGAACGTTATCATAAAAACTAATACGTCAATTCCCTTCAACATCTTGGCTGAGAATGATTTTAAAGAATATTAAGTTCGATGTATATAACCGTTTACTAGTATATCTAATGTATATCTATTTCTTTTACAAACTTTTTAGTCAGTAAGCTAGTGTTATCTAGTTAACTGATCCTTGTACTTTAAATAAATAATAAAAAATATTACAATATATTTAAATAGTATATGTCTACTTTTGTTTATAATATTGTTTAAAATTCAAACTAGATATAAATTATTTTCATCTTAAATTGGATTAGAATGTAAATGTCACGTTATTCACGCGACATTTCACGTTCGGCGTCGAATGTCACGTCCTGCGTCGAATGTCACGTCATTTCACGTGACATTTCATATTCTACATCGAATTTCACGTCTTGCGTCGAATGTCACGTCATTTCACGTTACATTTCACGTCCTGTGTTGAATGTCAGGTCATTTCACGTGACATTTTACGTTCTGTGTCGAATGTCACATAACTGTCACGTCCTGCGTCGAATGTCACGTCATTTCACGTGACACTTTACATTCTGCGTCGAATGTCACGTCCTGCGTCGACGTTCGTGTAGGCACTCTACAGAAAAGAAGAAGAAGAAGAACGTTCGAGCGTTGACATGGCTTCTGTGTCACCAACGCTTTCATTTGACACCTCATACGTCAAAATCAGGCTGGGTCTTTTTGTAAACAATTATTTAATGTAGATGCCGAAATATTAAATCTCATCTATACCTATTATAAGTACAGCGAATACACACGTAAATGAAATTGGCCATTCCCTCGGACTGGAACATAGTAGTAGTGATTCGTATATTATGTATGCTTAGTATCAACAAGATGTGTTAAGTTTTGGTGATGACGATAAAAAGGCAATGAGCATGCTATATGGACAAACAGAAGCTCCCTCTTCGATACCAACAACACCTGTTACGCAAGTGGAAACAATTTCACAAACCGGGAGCTATGTACCGAAAACACCTGCACTAAAAAAAAAAACAGGGCCTATTTGCCAAAAAACACCTGCAATAAAAACATATATCTAATTCAGTATCCCTATTTCATGTTTCTAGCTACATCTCCACAATTTCCAAATTATCGAATGTACGTTGGGTCTGATACTTATAAAAGTTTAATTTAAATGAGATGCGTCTTCCTGAACTAATTACCGATTATCTTCCTAAAGAGTTGAGGTCTACGCAAGTTTCATATGTTTTTCAGAATTCCGACGGAATACCTAATAACTGTAAGCAATAATAGGTAGGTATTTCGCTGCCTCTTTCCCCAATTTAAAACTTTAAAAAAGTTTTATGTTTCCTTCTATGCCTGCGAGAACCAATAAGTTTATTTACTTTTTCAAAACAATACCTATTAGAAGTACAGCGAATACACACGTAGAGTTGTAGCAGCAGGAACGTTCAGTTGGGAACTTTTGACTGCCCTAAAGACGGTCTATTAAAAACAATTAAAAACTTTGTTAAACAAAATTGTAGCTATATACGAATAAAGATTACTGTGTTCCTTCTTAGTAATAGTTCTTTTAATAAAAAATTACATTGTTTACGTTGTATTTAGAATTAAAAATTGGTCAGCCGCGCCCTTATCTCCGAGATCCCGATCGCATGAGAAATTAAGGTACCGAACGCACATCTGGTTCGCGCACCGTACGACCCACCTCGCGTCCGATGCATCGCGTGAAAAATTTAGGTACCGAACGCACATCTGGTTCGCGCACCGTACGACCCACCTAACGCGATGTCACGTCTCTCTCTCTAACACATTGTTTTCCCTATGTCTATAGCCATGGCCCTGACTTCTCTCTCTAACACATTGATTTCCCTATTCTGATAGTCACACCCGCCTTGTTCATCTACTATTTAATTGTACTCAAAATATAAAGTGTACACATAGTGTGCATTATCATTTAATAATAGCGTATAATAGATATCAATCAATTATTTTATATGTAGAAGCACTGAAAATTATTTATAAATGGCAACGGTTGTTTACATTTCTCTGTCTTATGGATCTACGTCAAACTTCAAATGCTGTTCCATGTTTGTTTACTTTTTAGTAAAAGTTGTTTTTAGATATTTTTGCTGTATTTTGAGTGATATTTGTAAAAAGTAAAATAAAATAAACGAAATATTTACATCCCGATCTCTCATTTCATTTGTAAGTACATACAATTTACATTATTTAAGATGAGGAAATGAGGAAGCGTGTTTGTTTACATTTTAATAGGCGTACCATTGGGTTTATTCATGTTCATTAATGTATTAAATAAGATATAAGTTCTTGAAATTAGTAGACATTTTTAAATTGTAAGTAGACATCATCTCTTTAAAAAAGACCTTTTTAATTTAATATTTCTCATGGATGCAAATAAATTAGTGAAATGACTAAAACTCATTTATTTTTCTATGTAGGTTTCCAAATAATATTAATGATCGAACTATTTTGGTAGCAAATTTAGGAGAAAACATAAAGATTTTTTATTGTAGCATTATTTTGATACCTTTTAAAAATTAACTTAAATTCAACTATATTTTATTGTATTAATTTTAAAGCAAATAAAATTGTATTTTAATTTTTCTATAAAGACGTGATTTGTTAATAGTTAAACTTTTGTTTTTTTTTAAATTCTTTGAACGTGTATTTATACATTATTACTACTTCCAATTTTTAAAATCTGAATAATTACCCACGAGTAAAAGTTCAAGCACGCTTATGCTCATTGCGGAAGCATCACATTCTATCGAAGCTTCAAAACATTGTGTGTTAAAGGTATCTTATTGCTGTGTCCATCTATGTTTATACGTCCATGGTTTGACTATTTCACTCATATTAAAATTTTCACATAATCTGACCAATCACAAACCAAAGACAGCTTGTGTTATCGCGAAAACACCAACTGTCTTTCAATTCTGATTGGTCTATCAGCTTCGTGTTTTCAACTACGTAACCATGGATACCGATCGCAAAGCAAAGTTTGACGTTTGCCAAAAAAATTATTGTAGCTGTATACGTCAAAATGAGTCGTTTCGGTGGTACTTCAAACGAAGTTATAAACCAAAACATTGAAGAAAATATACCGAGTAACACAAGAAAATCTAAATCCTATATATGGAGACAATTTATGAGAAATAATGAGGCGAAAATAATATTAACTATTAAAAGACGAAAACTTGAGTACTTGGGACATGTGATGAGAGGGCAAAAATACGCATTATTACAACTTATTATGCAGGGCAAAATCTGAGGAAAGCGAAATGTGGGAAGACGAAGAATATCCTGGCTTAAGAACTTAAGGGAATGGTTTGAATGCAGTAGTGCAGAACTTTTTAGAGCGGCAGTCAACAGAGTCCGCATAGCCATGATGATTGCCAACCTTCGATAGAAGATGGAACTTAAAGAAGAAGAAAGGAGACAATTTATGATGTTCTGTGTGGATCGCAACTACAAATTAGATGCAGAAAATAAAAACGAAAGACTATCATTCATTCTAAAAGACTGGGCCTTCAACATGCGAAAAATTGATATCACTTTGTTCATGAAATAATCTAATAAAATACCACTCGTGATTTAATTTAGCATATAAGTCTGTCTTTTATTTCTAAACTCAACTGAGCTTCTTAAAGAAAGTTTCTAAGCAACTCAGTTTCGTTTAGAAGTAAATCGACAGACTTATCGCGAAAATTGAATCACTAGTGGTATTACTATTGATTATACTATGGTTTGAACCAACAAGTTGATTCAAGGTGGAAGCGTGTTCCTTTTTTAAATTTTTCACAGGTGTTACATTTATGCTTTTGCTTTTTGTCTAGTCTTTATTTGTTTCCAATTTGTTTTTTTTTTTCAACATTTATTTTATAGTCTAAGAATACTTTTTCACTTTGTTTATTTGCTGTTTATCTTGTTCAATTCATTGAAAATGTAGGTAGTTGAATTCAGTGATTCCTTATCAAGTACAGTGGAACTTGGATAATTCGAATCTCAGGGGACCGTTTAAAAAATTCAAATTATCCAAAAATTCGAATTCAAAATATATCTACAAAAAAAAACAGTGATACCTACAAAAACATATGCAAACGATAAAAATCAACACTTTTGCAGATGTTTTCGTTCCTAGTTTTGCCCGAATTTTGTTAACCGAAAAAAATTAACTAACAAAATTCGGCCAAGTATACCAATTAAAACATTTGTAAGATATAAAAAATGATCCATTATTGATTATTATGACAGGTGTTCTCATTAGTATTTGCGGCCAAATCACGCCGATAAAAATCGCTCAGTGAGAACTCGTCATTAAAACAATAAAAACTTTTTGTCTCAAAAAATTTATTAAAAATAGGGACATTTGTTACAATTAACCAAAAAGGCAGACTTTAATTATTTCCAAAGAAATCCGAAATTTTCAGCTAGTTTTTAGAATTTCAAACTAAGGTGAACTATAGAGCGACTTACGTAATTTTTACTTTCAAAATGCCGCCCAAGTTGTGCAATATGGTTCGTTGTTTCTCCTGCACTGCAACATCGTCATCCACGTTAACAAAATCTTCATAAGAGATGACAGGATCACAAATTACGTCCTCCCAGCCGTCAACTGAAAGCAGCTCTTCTGTTAAAGTGTCGTTAGCGTTTCTGCGTTCTCCTCCTTTTTTTACGAAACCAGATTTTTTGGAACATGTTTGATCGTTTCGGGTGTTACTTTCTCCTAATCTTTCTTACACATTCGATAGGCTTGAAGAATGTCTAACTTTATTTTAAGGGAGTTGCAATCTTCCGTCAATATGTTTTCAACTATAAACGTCTACTAAGATTTCTTATGATGCCCCGGTCCATAGTCTGGAGAACTGAAGTCATATTGACAGGAAAAAAGTAACTTTTACATTTTCAAATAGTGGGATAGTGTTGTAGGCCGTACAGTTGTCAATAAACAAACTAACTTTTTTTCCTTTTATGAACTTTTTGTCTAACTTTATCAATCATTTCTCGAAAAAATCCCTAGTCATTCAAGCTCTTACGCTGCTCATATTTCACTGGTTTTAACTTGACGATCTTAAAACAACGCGAATTAGCCGACTTGAAAATCATAAGTAGTATTTCTGATCTGTCCATGTACCAATTAGGTGAGTGACTCTTTCTTTGCTTAGTTTCCTTCCGTGACATTTTTCATTTTTAAATGCCAGTGTTTTGGCAGGAGTGCATTTAAAAAATGACCCGTCTCGTCAACATTAAAGATATCTCTTTCTTCTATATCCTGGATCAACTCCTCCAATTTTTTTTCCATTCGTTGGCTTTTTGCTGATTAACGGCTCCACTTTCTCGACAAGTGGATTTGAATATTTTTTTTTGTTGCGTTGAAGACCCTCTAGCCACCCTGTGTTAAAGTTGTTTTTCCCCATTTCAACAACAAATTGTTCAGCTTTGCTTCTTACAAGGGAACCACTTACGGGAATCTCCTTATCCTTGGCTTGTTCGAACCATTTTAAAACACATTTGGATTTTCTGTCTCCCTTTACCTTTTTCGTTCTTTACCGCACTCACTTTCACTCTTGAGGTTTTTTTATTCTTTAAGTAGGTATACCCATCTTCTTGAGCAAGTAGGTGTAAATTATCATGTGTTAGTAGGAATTCCAAATTCCTTGGCAGTCTCAGATTTTTTTCTTTTTTCCCTTTTCTACTTCTTTAATTGCCGCTATTTTTTCACTGAAGGGGTATGCCGGATTAGGGGGAATTTAGGTAACATATACGGGTACAATGTACAATGGTCTTGAATGACTTGAAATAAGTGGCGAGTGAGGACAGGAAAGAATACTACCCCTTTTTTTGGCGGAAATTTTCAGCATGAAATTGGCATTTTAGTTATTAAAGAAGTTCGAATTATCCAAAATATAATTCGAATTATTCACGACTTTTTACCATTGCTTATATTGGAAATGCTAGGGACCAGAATAAAAATTCGAATTAAAGAATATTTCGAATTAGAGAAGTTCGAATTAAGCAGGTTCCACTGTATGTTCATGATGTTTTCCGGTAATAGGTACACATTCAGGTTTATTAATATGTTATTGTAAATTACCTTATAACACTTTTAACTTTTAACAATAATCTTTCTTTTTTTGTGGCATATTCTAACAGAGAACCTACTTGATATTTAAATGTAAGGGCATTTTCTATCTGGGACCAACCTTTTTTTTCCATAAATTCCAATCTGATGTCACTGTATATTTAACAAAAATACTACCATACCAATCTAAAAATTGTTTTTCAAGTAGATATCTCAAACTTTCTATTTTCTCCTCATCATTTAAAATTTTAATGCTTTCACATTCTTTTTTAAATTCTTCCTTCCCTTTGGCTAACAATTGGTGGAGTAGGAAATTTTCAGCTAGCCGTAGGCGAGTCCTGGAATCCTCTCGAGTTCTTTTTTTTATTTAGAAGGACGATGTGGAACATTAAAACATAGTTTTTAATTTCAATCAACATTTCAAATAACAATTTTTGATATTGTAAAATATAAAGGTACTTTACTCTTGAGCGAAATTCATACTTTTTGCCATACCTCGTACAATATTGATAAAATTTGATATCTGATCGTTACTTGGGTTTTAGACCATGCACAACTATTTATCAAGAATCACTATACACAAATACTATTGTATTTGTGTATTGTGATTAAGAATAACTTTTTTTCGTAAAATTAATAATTTTAAACTGTGTCTACAAATTGCAAGGCAGACATATTGATGAATTAGTCAACGAGAGAATCAAAAATAAAATTATCCAAAATGATTAAAAATTTCAGAACTTCTTCGGTCTTATAAGACAATCATCAATGAAAACGCCTTAATATAAATTGAAACTAGCCATACCGTAAGATCTAATAACCCTTAGATTACATATTAAAATTCTTATGTTTTATAATTGTTGTGATATGAGACCAATGTTAAAGGATTTCACTTTGAGAAAACGTACTGATCCCTACTCTAAACAAAGTCTTAAAACTTAACCCTTTGAAGTCGGATTTTTTTAAGGATCGGTATGTAATTTAGAACTTTTTTTGTTTAAAACGTATAATTATGCAAAAATAAAAGTGATTGAGAATAATTTTATCCTTTAGATCCGCCATTTTGTCGGGGACATATATGTCCCAGTCGGCTATTTTGGAACATATATGTGGGACTATAATATCCCATCAGACACCAAATTCTTACTTTATTTTAGTAAAGAAAAATTGAAAATACAAATAAAGTTTCATATTTTGACAACAAAAGGACTAAAACTAAAATCAATATTTAATGAAAATGAAAAGGTGTGAAACATGTTTTGCACAAGGCTTGCAGCTCTGACATAGTGTGGTGGTTCGTTTTTATTTTTTCTGAGAACATCGTTGACATCTTGTACAAGTCTTTCCTTACATAGGTAAATGATATCCCACTTTGAACATTTTTTTTTGTTTCTTTGCTGGAGGACGACCGAGTGAAGTCAAAGCTTTTCTTTTGACCACAGCATGGCTTCTTTACAATGAAATAAGTATCTCAGCTATACTAATTCTTCTTCTTAGAGTGCCATATCCCTACGGACCGTCGGTGACTACCATGCTTATAATCAAACCTGTCCACTGCCGCAAATTCCTCAACCAAGAGAGTTTCTTCCGTCCTATCCATTTCTTTCCTTCGATTTTACCGTTGAGAATTAGCCGAAGGAACTCATATCTTGGTCCTCTGATTATATGTCCAAGATATTCTAGTTTACGCCTCTTAATAATATTTAATAGAGTTCGTTGATGTCCCATTCTTCGAAGAACTTCTTCGTTTCTGGTTCTGCTAGTCCATGGAATTTTTAGTATCCTTTGATACAACCACATCTCAAACGCCTCGATTTTATTCATGATATCGGCGTTTAAAGTCCAAGTTTCACATCCATACAAAAGTAGAGACCACACGTAACATCTTGTAAACTTTTCACGGATTTCCAAATTTAATGAGTTATTGGATAATAGAGGCTTGAATTTTTGAAATGAGTTTCTTGCCTGTTCAATTCTACATCGAATTTTGAAGGATGGATCTAGATTTTGAGTAATCCAACATCCAAGGTATTTGAATCTCTGAACTCTCTGCATCGGTTGTTGGTTTAATATCAGTTGGGTTGCGCCGATATCCACTTTACTGGTCACCATGTATTTAGTTTTATCGATATTTATCGACAGTCCCAAATTTGTGCATTCCATGTCAACTCTATTGATTAGTTCCTGCAGATCGTCGATGTTTTCAGCTAGAATCACAGTATCGTCGGCGTACCGTATATTGTTAATTATTTCTCCTCCTATGATAATTCCTTTTTGATCTTTTAAAGCTTCCCTAAATAGATTCTCAGAATACACGTTAAAGAGGGTGGGAGATAGTATACAGCCTTGTCTTACGCCTCGTTCAATACTGATTGGCTTTGATTCTCTGTTGTTGGTATTAATAATGGCTGTTTGGTTCCAGTAAAGTTTGGCAATAAGTTTGATGTCTTTCTCATCTAGTTGGATGCTCTGCAAGGCGGTAATTAGTCTGGTATGCTGAACGCGATCAAATGCCTTTTCAAAATCAATGAAGCACATATATACGGGTTTTCTTACCTCCCAACATCGTTGAAGAGTTTGCATAGAAAATAGTGCTTCTCTAGTTCCAAGTCATCTCCGGAACCCGAACTGCTCTTGACTAATTATTTCTTCGCACTTGTTGTTAATTCGGTTTAGAAGAATATGCAACAGTATTGTAACGTAACGGCATGGCTCATTAAACTAATGAGTCTACAATCGCTACATTTCTTATCGTTTGGTTTCTTAGGTAGAGGAATAAAGTTCGATTTTAACCAGTCCTATGGAATTTCACTGGTATCATATATTTGATTGAAAAGTACAGTGAGTTCTTTTATATTGTCATTTGAGAGTAATTTTAGCTATTCGCTGTATTAATTAGAAAAGGTTAAAATGGTGTTTTTTCTTTTCTTTTCAGATCATTGTGTAGTACATAAGAATTTCCAACAGCCATCCTCAGAATGTGAAAAAATACTGTTTTTCACCATTTGGAACACTTCTAATCAAAGTCATACAAGCCTAAAATATAATTTAGGTTCACACCGCCTATTTTCTTATTGTACATGTCGAGAAGTTCAGGACACCACATTCATTTTAGAGCCATTCTTTATTTTTCATTTCACTTGCACTTATCTACAAAGCAACTGCTTACTGCTAACAAGTCTTTAGTATCTTGCCACCTGTAAACTATGGTGCCATGGAACAGAAAAACGTGGTAAAAAAGTTCCATCGTTATGAAACCAAATATCTGGTTGCTACGTACCTTCGCCTTCTTCATCATTTTTGTCACAACTGCTTTGTTCTTTACTTTCATCACTTATCATCTGATTTTCCTTATTCATTTTATTGCCCTCGGAACCTGAATCTATTTTGTGACGCTCGCGTTCTATTTCTTCTTCGCATCCTGATGGATTGTAGTCTTTATCATCGGAGCCACTAGTGTCAAAAGGATCGACTTCTGATTCTGTATCGCTGGCAAAAATGGCTGCTACCTCCTCCTCTAACTGTTTCTGCGTCACTATCTTTCTACTCATCTAGAACAAAACAAGACTGTTTTCATCAATATAACCCACCATAAATGTCTGTTGGGACATATTTCAACCACAAAACAAAATACTAGTTTTATTGAATAAATTTACCTTTTTTTCTTGGTAGCTCCACGGACAAAAACAAATTCGCAACAACATAACAGCGTAAAACTTTCCCTTTTGCAATCATCAACAAAACTACATAAACACATTCCGCAGATCAACATCACGGGAAAATACAGCGCGAAAATGGTTCGCAATGTTGCCTATTACACAAATTATTCTTTTAAAATTGTTATTAAGTTCTTAAAAAGTCGGTTACGATAAAAATTCATGTAAAATGGTTTAGACTTAGTCCAACAGACTTAATGATTTCATGACTGGGATACATATGTCCCGTCAGACTCGAAAGTGTTAAAGCACGAACAAACTTATTTATAGTAACATTTTTTTATTTTTAATTTTGCAGGCGTAAGTGGAAGTTCGCTAGCTAGACTAACTGCCAGAAAGACCTACGTTTTAGAAGGAATAAGATCTTTTGGACCAAGAAAGTGTGGAGATCCTGTTCCTACAGTATATACCAAAGTACAGCATTATCTCCAATGGATACACGATAATATTAAAAATTAATTACTTACTATGTCTTAAACAGTTTTTAAATTATACTTTATTTTTAACACCAACTTATTTTATTACGATTTAAAGAAAAATCTACTAATTAATTTTATCAACGAATAATTAACTTGCATCATCTGCCAGCGTCTCGCTTTTGCTGTCCTGTATTTGGCTAGTACAAATTATATCTTTATTTATCTTTTTATTCACAATGTCTGTTCCTTACAATTAGACTTAGGCAAGTAAGCAAATTGCATATTTTGCATATAATGCATAAAAAATGCAAAAATGTCTAATTTTGCATATTTTTATAAAAGTAAGCATAAAGTGCATATAATTTGAAAATTTGGTGTTAACTATATATTTTTATATTCAAACTTACAGATGGAAATGAAAATGCCAATATTTAATTTTGTTTTATAATCACTTGGTATTCAAATTCTTGGTATAGTAATCAATAAAAGACAGCGGCTTATAGTTTTGTCACGATTTGTCCTGGAATTAAGGGTTTGTGTAAACCAGTTTATGTCTCTAGGTAAAAATTTTTATTTTGACAGTCAGTTTCACTTGGTTTCACTTTTGTTGTAAAATTGGAGGCGTAAACAACGTCTATTTCTAATTGTGAATAATTATTGTGCTTTGAAAATGACGAATGAAAATAAGCAATGTTTCAACTTGGATAAAACCTTACAAGGAACTATATATGGATATGGATAAAGTTTATTGCTCATGTTGTGGCAAAACCGTAAGTACATATTTATTACTTTTTATTTATTTATTTTTTTAAATTTACACGGTGGTACAGACAAACAGTTTAAAATTGAAGATAATGTTCAGAAAATATTGTTCTGAAGCTATTTTCTTGTGGCATTGTAAATTAATTACTATTTATAACTGGGAATAAGCCACAATTAAAGATAAAAAATACGTTTATTGACGTTTCAATTTCCAATTCGGAAATCGTTCTCAAAATACAAACAGTAAATTAAACAAATTTTGTTTTTTGTTACATAGTGAAAAAATTCTTCTAATAATTTAATTTTATCTGACTCATTTATATTGACAATTCAGACATACATTATGCATTTTAAAGTAGAGGACTTTAAAATGATATTGCCAATATTGTTGAGTTGCGCTCCTGGGACGACTTTACTATAAGATAGTTCATTCGATTACATGAAATCAACTTTAACTTGAGAATATCCGTCAGAAAAAATCATAGCATATAATTCGTCTTTAAAAAGACAAACACATGACATGATGACAGTAAAATTCTCCCGTTAGTGATTCCATAGTAAATTATGAGGGAAAAACCAGGAAAAAAACCTCATAATACTATCCCGACATTGTAAGTATTTGTTCGTGAATTTAGTTTACCTTCAACAAACATAAAAATTCTGATTTTATATGTTACGTTATTTAAAAAACATAAATGATGTATCCTCTATATGTTACTAACAGTATTAGTAAGTCAGTAACATATAGAGGATACATCATTTATGTTTTTTAAATAACGTAACATATAAAATCAGAATTTTGATGTTTGTTGAAGGTAAACTAAATTCACGAACAAATACTTACAATGTCGGGATAGTATTATGAGGTTTTTTTCCTGGTTTTTCCCTCATAATTTACTATGGAATCACTAACGGGAGAATTTTACTGTCATCATGTCATGTGTTTGTCTTTTTAAAGACGAATTACATGCTATGATTTTTTCTGACGGATATTCTCAAGTTAAAGTTGATTTCATGTAATCGAATGAACTATCTTATAGTAAAGTCGTCCCAGGAGCGCAACTCAACAATATTGGCAATATCATTTTAAAGTCCTCTACTTTAAAATGCATAATGTATGTCTGAATTGTCAATATAAATGAGTCAGATAAAATTAAATTATTAGAAGAATTTTTTCACTATGTAACAAAAAACAAAATTTGTTTAATTTACTGTTTGTATTTTGAGAACGATTTCCGAATTGGAAATTGAAACGTCAATAAACGTATTTTTTATCTTTAATTGTGGCTTATTCCCAGTTATAAATAGTAATTAATGTTCAGAAAAGTACCGACACAAGGCTAGTTCGCAGTAAATTGATGTATTTTTTCTTTTTCAAGCATTTCTTAAACTTTTGCGATAAAAAGTAGGATATCTATTTAGAATTTAAATCATTTAATAGTCTACTCAAATGTGGCTAACATTTTTTTTTTCTAACAATATCATGGTTTGCTTTAATTTTGCTAAAAACAAAAACATATCATATATTGGACTTAATTAATTAAGTGCTTTTAATTTATGCTCACAGTATTTTTCTTTAAATGAAGACCTTCCCGGAAAAACGTTGTAAGCGACAAATTTTAATAAAGTGATGTTTTGGTGGAAAAACGTTCTTTATGCGTTAAGCGAACTAGTGACACCATCTATTAGCATTAATACCCTCAATACCCTCCTTACAGAACTTCAAAACACGACGCGAGAGGAAAAACGTTACTTGTGCATTAAACATGGCGGAGTGTGGAGAGTTATCGTCTACATCGCGTGTCTTAAATCATCTAAATAAAGGTAAAAAACGACAAATAAATTTTGAAAACTGGGTGAAAGAAAAGCGTAAGCGCTTAAAAAACAGTGGACAATCTTACAAAAATTATAAAAATATTCCTGTTCCAGAAAAATTGCCTCCTAATGTGGTAAGTGGAAAAACGTTACATGTGTTAAGAATCTGTACATTCATATTTTTGTTTTAGGCTAGATCTTGTACATGTTCGTTCAACGGATGTAAGTTAATTACCTTTGAAATGAGACAGAACTTATTTAATGATTTCTATAAAAAAACATACAATGAACAGTCACAAAATTTGGGGTTATGTATGGAAGTAGAGGAGCCAAAGAGAAGAAGGGTAGATGAAGCCACATCAAAACGTCAGTGTACTGTAAAATATTTTTTGTTGATTACTGGAAAAAGACAACAGGTATGCCAAAAAATGTTTTGTGAAACTTATTCTATAACAAAACGCAGAGTTCAAATTTTAATTGAAAAAATCAAGACAAATAAAACATTATTGCTTGACTGTCGTGGAAAACATGTAAATCGTCCAACAAAAACCAAAGAGTCTGTAAAAGACCTAATCAGACAACATATTTCGTCTTTTCCATCTCAAGAAAGCCACTATTCTCTCAACAAAAAACAATGCCTTAATCCTGACCTAAACACTAACAAAATGTTTGAGCTGTTTAAAATATTGCATCCAGACATTGAAGTAAAATTCCATACTTACAGAGAAATATTCAAAGAAGATTTTAATTTACGTTTTGGAGTTCCTCGCTCCGATACTTGCAAAGTCTGTGATAAAATTTTTATAAAACTGAGAGCTGCAGAGAACGAAAAGAACGAAAGAAGCTTCAAACTGAATCCGAGCTACATCACCGAAAAGCAGAAAGTACATATTCATCTTTGAAAGCTGATGAAGAAGCAGCTAAGGTAAATAATTCAAATGTGATAGTTTTATGTGTGGATTTGCAACAAGTCATTTTTATACCTAACTTATCACATTCCGATGTTTATTACCAGTGTCAGTACGCAAATTACAATTTTGCTATTCACAATATGGGAACCTCTGAAGCTACTATGTGTTGTTGGCATGAACTGTAGCCAAGAGGGGCAGTGCTGAAATTTCTTCTTGTATTTTAACCCTGCTGTCCTGTTCGGGTCTATTTGACCCAAAAAAAAAATTATTTCTTATTTTACAAATTATTACGCGGCGTAACGTTTTGGTGTTTCGTGACTTTATTACTTAATATGAGGTCTTTCAATTGCATAAAAGATAAAAAATCAACTTGCTCATTTTTTTGATAAAAATTAAATTGTTACCTATGGTACGCTCGGGTCAATATGACCCACTTATTTAAACCGTTAAAAATTACCTGTATAGGTATGTTTAGTTGGTAGTATTTTATATTTTCTAATAGTGTTTGTCAGTCAGGTACGTCTATAAATAAAAACAAGTTTCTACAAGCTAGAACTTGTAAAATATGTGTAGTGTAGCTGGACGATGTCAGGTAGAATGGCATGTCACGTAAAAGGAAGTGGGGGTGATAGACAAGTGGTAAAACACTAATATTCCAAGGCCAAGCGCATTCATTTATTCGTTTATATTTCAAATTTCAGTCTATGTTTGCATGTTGATAATGTCGCACCGTAGAGCGCTAACCGAAGATGAGCTTCGCGAGCTCGCGAACGTGTCAGAGAGTGATGAGTGCATATCAGAAACAGAAAACAATACAAGTAGTGAGAGTGAGGAAGAAAGTATTGATGAATCCTTTGGTGTTCCATTCTACGTACAACATCCTGTAGAACCTTCTGTAACGGTTCCTTCAAAAGACGATACTATCCAATGGTCGCTCGATCCTCCTTATCAACGCGGTCGTTTTTCTACGGCCAATGTTATAAATAATGCTCCAGGAGTTACAAGGTACGCATGTGCACGAATTTTCGATATTAAAAATTCATTTGACGCACTCTTTTCTGACATAGTTGCAAACCAAATT